ATCGGCTGGACATTTGCCAACAGATTGGGAATACAATACTCAGCTAAAAGTTTTTGGTTTGGCATGTGTTTATGATTTATATATATTTATATTGATGTGTGAATCATAGGTATACATATGTTCCAAAATACATCTACAACATATTCAATATACCAATCATCGCCAATCTATATGACACATTGAAAACAATAAACGTATATAAACGTGACATGTCTCATTTTCTTGTGGTAGCCTTCCCGTTGTACCTCTCCGTTGTAGTTTTCCCCCTTTACCTTGTTGTCAGTCCTTCCGTTTCCGGGTCGAAGTCCTGGAGCCGACTGGCTGGGGTATAAAGTGGCCATTCCAGGTAAAAATGTGTTTTTTCAGGGGTTTTACCTGGACTGGCCACTTTATAGAGGCATTCTCTGTTGGGGGAGGGGGTATAAAGTGGCCAGTCCAACATAGATTCTGTTTTTTCAGTGGTTTTACCTGGACTGGCCACTTTATAGAGGCATTCTCTGTTGGGGGAGGGGGTATAAAGTGGCCATTCCAGGTAAAAATGTGTTTTTTCAGGGGTTTTACCTGGACTGGCCACTTTATAGAGGCATTCTCTGTTGGGGGAGGGGGTATAAAGTGGCCAGTCCAACATAGATTCTGTTTTTTCAGGGGTTTTACCTGGACTGGCCACTTTATAGAGGCATTCTCTGTTTGGGGAGGGGGTATAAAGTGGCCAGTCCAACATAGATTCTGTTTTTTCAGGGGTTTTACCTGGACTGGCCACTTTATAGAGAAGAAGATTTCCCTTGAAAGGGGTCCTCAGGGTGAATGGGGTCCTGGGCAGCTCTATAAAGTGATTTGGGTGATGTATCTCATGACTCTATAAAATGCTCTGCCGCAATTTTCTTTCTATAAAGTGCCCTGGATGCAGCACAAATTCTTCTTCTTAAAGAGCAAGTTTCACTCTATAAAGTGCTTTGCCATGTATACAGCCCCAACAGAAAGATATTGGCCCGAAATCATTGGGGAGACATGTTTCTATAAAGTGGATGGTGTGACATATTATGGCCATTCTTTGAAGGGAACCAACGGTCTATAAAATGCATTGCCGCATATATTGAGTCGTTTCCTTGTGGGGAACCAGCCGGGTATAAACTGGAAAGCCAACGTTGCTATAAAGTCATCTTCCAGGTCCAAGGGCATGTTTCTCGCGCAAAACACGGCTTTATCCCCCATTGTCGGTATATAAAGTGGCGACCGGAAACCCACTTTATAAGCGCAAAGGATGTCCACTTTATAGTGAGCTATACATGGGGGATGCTATACCCAATATGCTATCTCCATGGCATCATGGTGCTGCAATATGCACAGCAACATATTTGCCCGAATGTCCATCCATCACACCAACATGTGTAGTTAAACAAAAACCAGCACCATGGTTCGCATCGATAGTTACCCTCTGGTAAACTAACAGTTCGCTATTGAAAATGGCCAATTGATAGTGGATTTACCCATTAAAAATGGTGATTTTCAATAGTTATGCAACAGTTTACAGGCCGGGTAGTCAGGGGCTTCACCAAAGTTAGTCAGGCCTCAAAAATGGTTATTTTTGTCAACACCGAGAAGGCAGATCATCTTGGCAGATCTTGGTATATTAATTCCCCTGTTATAGGTTTGTAAGGTCTGGTTATTTCGCTGTAAGAAAGACACATATATAATCTATACTATACTATATATATATGTATAATATGGATATATATGTATAGTATGGATATAATATATATACCACATATGACTAATATATCATTGCCAATCAGCCAGATACCAAACAAAATTGATGACAAATTCTTAGCTGGTGAATTAGTAGATAATCCCATTGATAGCAAAAGACTAAAGGATTAAAGTACCCATCCAAGGTTAACCTAGATATTCAGTATTTTGTTCACGCATAGGTTGCGCCGCCCTCCTCATTGCTTCTCAGTTTTGCTGACAAATCACGCGAGTTTGGCCACCTCTATCACAAGGTTTGCATAGTTGGGTAGGTGATATAAGCCATAGAAAACTTCAAGTACAAGAAGAAGTTACAACGCATCATCAAGTGCAAGAACAAATTACGACGTAGCATCAAGTGCATGACGAAGGAGAAGTTACAGCGTAGCATCAACTGGAAGAAGAAGTCACAACGCAGCGTCAAGTGGAAGAAAAAGTTACAACATAGCGTCAAATGGACAAAGAAGATACAACGCAGCATCAAGTGCAACACGAAGGAGAAGCTACAGCGTAGCATCAAGTGCAAGAGCAAGTTATAGCTTCGCATCACTTGCATCAAGAGATTACATCGTAGCATCAAGTACGGAAGTAAGAGCAAGGAATGTTATTAAACCATATTAAACCCTGCCCCACCCCACCCCACCCCATCATAGAGAAGAACAACACAAAATGGCGCCATGTTGTGGGGTGTCAAATGATCCAATACTGTGATAAAAATAGAAGAGCGCGCACACAAAACCACACAGCTAATTATTCCCCGCCTCCTGAACAAGGCTATATTTCATATTGGGATAAACCCTTACTGACCATCATTTACCCAGAGTACATGGGGAGATAACTTATACAAATACACCAAGAATGAGGTGACTTTGACTTTGACGTCTCTTCACAGATTCTCCCTAGATACATTTAGATAACTAACACACACACACACATTGGGGTCATATATCACCCATGGAATCCCATGGAAGGTTCACATATCCATGTCCATGTCGCAGCTTGACATGGGTCTCTCTGAAAAATAAGATATGCCCAATTCAAAGGGATTATCATTGCTGTCCCATGTAAATGGCCATCTGGTTGGTGGTTTTTCGCCCTACCCCTCTGAAAAATGATGGAGTGAAAGTCAGTTGGGATGATTATTCCATTCCCAATTCATATGGAAAGTCATAAAATTCCATGGTTCCAAACCACCAATCAATGGCCATTTCAGGATCCTAGATTGGAGGTACCTACCATATATAAGGCCTATGTACAGTACCTCCATTTTAGGATCCTGGAATTCCCATTGAACCAACCAGCCATAATTGGGGTATACTAACCATTTTCGGACACACCGTGCATTACACCCTCGTGACCGCATCCACTGGGGCACGCACACTGACACAGCGGCTTGCTGTCTTCTCAATTTGAGACCTCCAGTTTACGGGACCATCCGGAGACGAGAAACACCGATTTCAGCCATGGGATTTAATTACCCTCTGGTTATGACTAACAGTTTGCCATGGAAAGATCCACCATTTTTAATAGGTAAACCCAGGTAAACCATCTATTTCTATGGGCCATCTATACCATGGCTATGTTAGTCATAACCAAAGGGTAAATGGATTTAAATGGATTGAAGTCGTCTCTATGAGCAGTTAACACGTCTTAACAAACAGGTTATCTTTGGATAAAAAAAACTGAATAGCCAATCTGAATAGCTTCTGAAACATGTTAGGTCTGAAAATTAAGAGCTCATTTGAAAACGATCGTAAATCATAACACATAGATCGTAGATCCCAAACTCAATTGAGCAGTGTTCAAAATCCCTGCTTCATTCCATTATACTGGCTGGTTTATAGGGATTCCCCTATTCAATTATTATAATCCATACTGGTTGGTGGTTTCAACAACCCCTCTGAAAAATATGAGTCAAATTGGAGTATTATCCCATATATGAAATGGAAAGTCATAATCCAGTCATGTTCCAAACCACCAACCATATATATATATATATATAATTATATATATATAGGTAGTGTAATCCCTCATAATCATCAACCAACAGGAGTTCTGAACTCTGCTCTCTCCGCCATGGCCCAGACTTCTTGCGAAACGGTCATCATGGCAGCGGAACATTCCATGGATTTATAGATCTAAATAGGACCTATTAATATGAACATAGGATAATGGTTAATATATTCGGTTAATAATGGGTAATAATAGGTTCAATAATAGGTTCAATAATAGGTTCAATAATTGTTAATAATGGTTAATAATAGGTTCAATAATGGTTAATATATTGGGTTAATAGTGGTTAACAATGGGTAAATAATATTTAATAATGATAGATCTACCCTCTGGTTATGACTAACATGGCCATGGTTAAGCCATGGCCCTAATCGAAATAGATGGTTTACCTATTTAAAATGGTGGATCTTTCCATGGCTATGTTAAATTACCAGAGGGTAAATAGATCTATATAAATAGACCTAATGGTTAGTTACAGTATGTTACAGTTAATGGTAAATGCTGCTGAGCAATTCATGGTTAAGTTGATCTGCGAAGCACAACTCGATGATCTCTGGAAGCCAAGAAAGCTACTAACCGTTACGAAGCCCAAACATTGACAGTCGGCTGGTAAGTAAAAAGTCCTATTTGTAGAAAGAAATAAGGAATCAACTTGCCATCCAAGGTTAAGCTAGCAAACTGATGAGAGTGACATTTCTGTACTTCCTCTAAACAGCTTGAGTAGAAGCTATGTCAGGTTAATAGTTGCTTTCGCAATTTTTCTTCCGGATTGACCTTGCAGTCAGCGGTGAATCGGGACAAACACACCATAACTAAGACATACCCGGCCTGGTAAACGTTTACAGTTTGCGAACTTGAAAATGGCCCAGTCGAAATAGTGGATTTACCCATTGAAAATCGCATGGTGATGTTCCATAGTTACGTTAGTTTACCAGAGGCTACCCATTTTCATTGCCAATCTTAGATACGCACAAAAATGACAAAGCTTCTCAGCTGGTGAAAGTAGATATTCCGCTACTGAATTCAGGATTAGTCACTACAGGATGGGGCCCCCAAGAAAGCGTTCAGTTGCCTTATAAGTGGCTCAACTATGGTCTATAGTAGATATTATGTATAATATATATATAGTATTCATGGGGTTTATAAACCAACATTCACATAACTTAGGGGCACCATCCTGTACCCATCCAGTTCGGAAAACCCCAGCCTCTCGCCCCGTCGGAGCGTTTACATGAATTGAGTCAGGGCCACCAACAGACCTCGGGCGGTGCCAACGTTCCGAAAAATCCCCATGGTCCATAGTCAAAAACAGGGTTACCCTCTGGTTATGACTAACATAGCTATGGAAAATCACCATTTTTAATGGGAAAACTCACTATAAATGGTCATTTTCAATAGCTATGTTAGTTTACCAGAGGGTACCTAAAACAGGGTTACCCTCTGGTTATGACTAACATAGCCATGGAAGCCATGGCCCTAATCGAAATAGATGGTTTACCGTTCTTAAAAATGGTGGATCTGTCCATGGCGAACTGTGAGTCATAATCAGATGGTACCCCAAATTCCCAAATCATCCAAAATGAGCCTTTTTGAGTGTTTCAAAACCTATGGTTTTGGGGATCCCCCACTTGAAACAACCTCAGTTTTTTAATAGAAAAAATCTCGATGACTAGATATGTTCTAAGATATGTTCTAGGGAAAACTGGGGTTGATTCTTCAATATGAACTACTGTATAAACATCCTGACCTTTCGAACTCTGAATTTCACATGTTTGATGATCAGTCAATACCATATTAACCCAAAAAACCATCTAAGTTCTATACAAACAAGCGACGATCATTCCAGCAGCAATCCTTCCCGTCCTTCCAAAATACAATGCTTGGTCTATGTGGTGAAGCTCTGAACGAATCTCTCCTTACCATTGGTTATATCGATTTTCTGAACTAATGCGATTAAAAAAAAATGCCATAGTCACCATCCAACCATGCCTGGGGTTATTTTACATCTTCCCAACTAGCTATATATGTATATAATTGTATGATATTGTATGAATATACCCAATAATACACCTCTAGTGGGGGTGATTTGTGATTGGGTTTACCACATTATCTGGTTTGTGGTTTCAACCCCTCTGAAAAAATATGAAAGTCAGTTGGGATTATGAAATTCCCAATATCTGGGAAAATAATCAAAATGTTCCAAACCACCAACCAGTTATTTACCTACACTTACAAATACCATCTGGTTATTTAACATAGCCATGGAAAGATCCACCATTTTTAATAGGTAAACCATCTATTTCTATGGGCCATGGCTTCCATGGCTATGTTAGTCATAACCAGAGGGTAGATGCCTTAAATAGTGTGAAACCAGGACGAGGACGAATGTGAGTTTGACGATAGACTTTCCTAAGATGTCCAGCTTTTTGAATGTCTTTTTGTAGGCTGCTGAAATTGTGAAAAATTGGATATCAACCATGTAAGACGAGGATGTAGAATGGAATATTAATGGAATATCAATCCTTCCCAATTCCAACAGTTTAAATGAATTCCATTGAATTCCACTATAATACTCCATTGCAATCCAATATATAAACCAATCCAATAATCAATATGTCCTCCAACTTTCTTCCCAATCCACCTTAATCCCAATTCCCAATCCAGTATGAATCCTTCCCATTTTTTGCAGTTCAAAAGAACTCTCTCAACTGATCCTTCCATATCCTTCCCAATTCCCATAGCTGTTAATCATGTTCCGCTGCCAATAGGTGAGGTATCTCTCATTTTCAGAATCTGGTCAAGTCGCTGATCAGGACCCTGTTCAGCTGCTTCATCCACTGCTTTGCCTGCCTGCCTTCTCTGCAGCTCGTGAGCAACATGAGCAACATGAGCACTTCCACAATCCCGGAAGTGCTCCGGATCATCTTGCTGCCAGCAGGCGTTACAACTGAAGCCATTCACTGGCATTGGTTCGTGCCAAGGTGCACCGGACTCAAATCACATGATTGATAATCCTATATAAGTCCTATTATAATTCCCTTGGGTACCCTTGTAATTCTTGTTTTAACCCCTATGAAATCCCGCATAATCCACGTTTGACGGCAATAATCCATTGTCATCCCATTACAACCCCATGAAATCCATTAATGATCCATTATCATCCCATTACAACCCCATGAAATCCATTATAATCCCATTGTAATCCCATAAAATACCCTTGTAATAAACATCTAAATACATCTCAATACCCGTTTTTTATCCCACTAAATACCACTAAATACGTCTATCAAGCCCAATCCATCGTGGGATCAAGCCCAATCCACGTTTGACACCGGACTTGGAGGATCATCATCCACGGTCCTCGTGGTATCGTGGTTTCTGCTAGCCTGGTTACTAAGTCCCTTTTTTTCGTGAGTTATCCCAAATATAAATCATGCTTACCTGGTTGGTGGTTTGAATTCCTCTGAAAAAATGATGGAGTGAGCAACAGTTGGGATGATTTTCCATTCCCAACTGAATGGAAAATCATCCAAATGTTCCAAACCACCAACCAGTTATTTACCTACACTTACAAATACCATCTGGAAAAATATGAGTTCGTCAGTTGGGATGATGACATTCCCAATATATGGAAAAATAAAAAATGTTCCAAACCACCAAACCAGAAATGGCTTCTAGCTATGGGCACTCACCAGTTACGATCGCCGGGATGATCCTCCAAGTAGGTAGTCCATTTTTGCTTCCAGCATCCACTGCCGTAATACTCCCAAATTACGTCACCATGAAAAATCTCCATCAAATCCCCATGATAATCCATTATATACAGTACCATCTGGTTATTTAACATAGCCATGGAAAGATCCACCATTTTTAAGAACGGTAAACCATCTATTTCTATACCATGGCTATGTTAGTCATAACCAGAGGGTAAATGCCATTGTAATTCACCCAAAAAAAACATGATAAGCCTTGGAGGATCATCCCGAACTCCACTTTTTTTCCATATAGTCCATGATCATTTTCCATTACCCTCTGGTGAACTAACATAGCAATGGAAAATGGCCATGGAAATAGTGGATTTTCCCATGAAAAATGGTGATTTTCCATTGCTATGTTAGTTCACCAGAGGGTAAACCCATTGAAGCAACATGTTTCATATATTCATATGGGGGAAACTCCGTTATAAATGGGGATACCCAAATCGCTGGATGGTTTTTTTTCGGGACAATCCCATCTGGAAATGGATGAGAACTAGGGGTACCCCTATTTCAGGAAATATCCATATATTTATATATCAATCCATATATTCATTTCCCTAAGTTGGGATGATCCAAGTGAGTCTAGCCTCTTACAGGATAGTGCCCCCCAGTTATGTGAACGTTGGCTTATAAACCCCATGAATACATATGAATACTATAGATATATCTATCGTAAACATTCATAAACCATAGAATTCAGCCACTGAACGCTATCTTGGGCCCCATCCTGTATGGTAAGTTGGGCTAACCTTTCCCAGATTTTCGTCTCATCTTCCAGGTTACCCAAGGCCACACTGCTCTCGCAGGCCGCATCGTCTATGGGTTCATTGTCATCATAATACATGCTGGTGGTGGTGTCGGTCGGCCCAGGGCTGGTGCCCTTGGAGAAAAATGGGGAACCGGGAAACAAATGCGGCGGTGAAGTTGGGGTTTCAACATGGTTTTTCACGAAGAAAAGGGGATTTTCACTGCGAAGAGACATGAGTTTAGAGAAGTTTTAACATGTTTTAACCATCAAAGAGGATGTTTTGATTGCAAACACGGGCATTTCGGCACGCAACATGTTGGTCCCACCATATCCCCACTCCAGAAGAAAAAGATCCCATACGAATAAACTCATTCCATGGATGGAGAGTTTGCTGTTGATTAAAAACAAAAACAATAAGTTACCCTTTGGTTATTAAACAGTTTGCTATGGAAACCATGGCCCATTTAGTTCTATGAGAAAAATATGATTCCCCTATTACATCTGGTGATTTTCCAGTTGCATATGTTTAATGACCAGAAGGTACCTATGTATGAGCCACTTCCATGGAATTTTGGAGACTAATGTGGCACAAAAAATCTTGACTTCTACTGGGATATGACATAATTAATGCTACTTACAGCTGAAGAATCAATGCAAAAACCTTGCCCACTCATACCCAGAGTCCTTTTTGATTAAACCCCCATAATTCTGGGTAAATTATAATATTTCACTAACCTGAATTAAGGCCATTTGGGGAAGATTTCCCTTACTAACCATGATTCCAGTGAGGGAGAGCAGTGAGGTCGTTATAATTTACCCAGATAATTGCTGTCAAAATCCCCGATTTCTTCTGATACAATCCCATTATTCACCAGCCGGTTTACCCACTTCAACCCCCACAATTCATCAGCGACTTTCCTTGAAGCATAGCCACTCAGATACTCTGCAAAAAATTAAAGGACCGGATAACCCCACAACGCAACTTCTTCCAATAATGAGCACCAAATGTTGTAGCGGGGAAAGAAGGAAAGACAAAGGAGGTGGTGGAGGATCGAGAAGTAAAACAAAGTTGTGTGTGTGACCAAGTTGTATATAAAAGATGGTGTGTGTGTGTGTGAAAATTGTGTGTGAAAGGGAGCGTGTGACAAAGTTGGTCTGCGACAAAGTTGTGTGTGAAAGATGAAAGATGGTGTGTGACAAAGTGGTGTGTGAAAGATGGTGTGATACAAAGAGGTGTGTGACAAAGTGGTGTGTGAAAGATGGTGTGTCAAAGATGGCGTGTGAAAAAGTTGGGTGTAAAAAATGGTGTGTGACAAAGTGGTGTGAAAGATGGTGTGTGACAAAGTGGTGTGTGAAAGATGGTGTGACAAAGTGGTGTGTGACAAAGGTGCGTCAAAAATGGTGTTGGACAACGATGGTGTGTGAAAGAGGGTATGTCAAAGATGGTGTGTGTGTGTGTGAGTGTGTGTGAGTGTGTGTGTGTGTCTGTGTCTGTGTCTGTGTCTGTGTCTGTGTCTGTGTCTGTGTGTCTGTGTGTCTGTGTCTGTGTCTGTGTGTGTGAAAGATGGTGTGTGAAAGATGGTGTGTGAAAGATGGTGTGTGAAAGATGGTGTGTGACAAAGCGGTGTGTGGAAGACGGCGTGTGACAAAGTTGAGGGTCAAAGATGGTGTGTGACAAAGCGGTGTGTGAAAGATGGTGTGTCAAAGATGGTGGGTGACAAAGTGGTGTGTGAAAGATGGTGTGTGACAAAGTTGAGGGTCAAGGATGGTGTGTGACAAAGTTGTGTGTGAAAGACGGAGTGTGATGATGGGTGACAAAGTGGTGTGTGAAAGATGGTGTGTCAAAGATGGTGTGTGACAAAGTTGGGTGTGAAAGAGGGTGTGTGAAAGATGGCGTGTGACAAAGATGGTGTGCGAAAGAGTCTTGAAAGAGGGCGTGTCAAAGATGGTGTGTGAAAGAAGGTGTGTGACAAAGTGGTGTGTGAAAGATGGTCTGTGACAAAGATGGTGTGTGACACCAGAGCCAGCCCAGTGCCATAAGTGCCACGCCTGCCACGCAAAGTGCCGCGGCGTCACCGGCGACCAAGCCGTCCAAGCGCGCCACGCAGTGCCATAAGTGCCACGTCTGCCACGCAAAGCGAAGGTGGATGTCGACAAGTGCCACGCCTACCACGCAAAACGAAGGTGGATGTCACCAAGAACCACGACTGCGACGCAAAATGCCGCGGCGTCACCGGCGACCAAGCCGTCCAAGCGCGCCAGGCTGTGCCATAAGTGCCACGCCTGCCACGCAAAACGAAGGTGGATGTCGCCAAGTGCCACCTGCCACGTGAAACGAAGGAGGATGTCGCCAAGTGCCACGCCTGCCACGCAAAGCGAAGGTGGCTGTCACCAAGTGCCACGCCTACCACGCAGAACGAAGGTGGATGTTACCAAGTGCCACGCCTGCCACGCAAAGTGCGGCGGCGCCACCGGCGACCAAGCCGTCCAAGCGTGCCACAGTGCCATAAGTGCCACGCCTGCCACGCAAAGCGAAGGTGGATGTCGACAAGTGCCACGCCTACCACGCAAAACGAAGGTGGACGTCACCAACTGCCACGCCTGCGACGCAAAATGCCGCGGCGTCACCGGCGACCAAGCCGTCCAAGCGCGCCACGCAGTGCCATAAGTGCCACGCCTGCCACGCAAAAACGAAAGTGGATTTCACCAAGTGCCACGCCTGCTACGTGAAACGAAGGAGGATGTCGCCAAGTGCCACGCCTGCCACGCAAAGCGAAGGTGGCTGTCACCAAGTGCCACGCCTACCACGCAAAACGAAGGTGGATGTCACCAAGTGCCACGCCTGCCACGCAAAGTGCCGCGATGGTGTGTGAAAGATGGTGGTTGACAAAGATGGTTGACAAAGATGGTGTGTGAAAGATGGTGTGTGAAAGATGGTGTGTGAAAGAGGGTGTGGCCAGAGACCACCGTTCGGGAGGCTTCAGCCTTTGACGAAATCACGACATCGGAGCAACATCTTGGGGCTACCCTCCAAAAATGCCATGGAAAATCATGGAACATCATGGAACATCCATGGAAAATCATGGAAAAATGCAGGAAAACGGGAAAATCCATGGAAAATCCAATCTTGGAATTTGTTTATGTATATATTTGCGTGCATTTGTGTATATTGTCACTATGTAGAGTAAATTTCCTGCTAGCACGATAGAGCTGTGATGAGCTATCTTGGAATTCCGTGCTTCATATGCGGTCCATCTTTCTGGATGGTCATCTGCATGTCTTTCTCCCTGAAATCATCAAGGGAACACTTTGTGGTGGATGTTTGACAGTTTATCACTGGCTTCTCACTGGGTACCCTCTGGTTATGTCAAAATAGCTATTGAAAATGGTGATTTATAGTGGATTTACCCATTGAAAATGGTGATTTTCCATAGTTATGTTAGTTTACCAGGGGGTAACCTGAGTTCAGAAATCATTTTTTCTGGCGGTTTTTTGCTAGTGCCATAAGCCATCCCATTAACCAGCTAGGACTGGAGGTCATGATAGACATCATCCCATTTCCAGGGCTATATCCAATTTCATAAACCTCAAACTTGGGGATGGTTTTGCTATGATCATCCCATACTTATCCCACAATTGTCCCATGATTGTCCCAGACTTTCCCATATGATTGGGTTTGCCACACTAACCATACGGCCAAGTGGCCGTCACGGTGATGGTGTCGGTCATGGTGTCGGTCATGGTGGTGGCGACGGTGACCGTCGTGTTGCCGAGCATCATGCTGGTGGACTCGGTCTCGGTCATATTGCCACCACCATTGGCAATGCTGAATCCGGCCAGCTTTCCTTAGTTGGATGTGTTCGAATATGTCTGGTTGGTGGTTGACCTACCCCTCTGAAAAATATTAGCCAGTTGGGATGATGATTATTCCCAACTGAATGGACAAACATAAAATTCACACTTCCAAACCACCAACCAGATGTTTTGGGAGCCCAAAGCAATGCGGCGTGTGTTAAACACTTGGTGATCTCAACATCCCGGCTCTTTGTGCAGTGGACGCAGGGTGCCGTAAAGAAAAATGCAAAATGTCCTTTTTGGATTTTGCAGATAGTTGATTAAGCAATAGGAATAGTTGATTAACCACTAGGAATAGTTGATTCAGTAAGAGGAATAGTTGACTAACCAGTAGGAATTTTTGATTCAGCAAGAGGAATAGTTGATTAACCACTAGGAATGGTTCAGTAACCACGACAGAGAGTTAATTAATAAATAGTTGATTATATATAAATGATATTAAATGGACAAATTCCTGCACCAGTTGCTAAAGATGGCTAACTTCATTCAACACTAGAAATAATGGGCGGTGGTTGCTGGGAAACCTAGAAATGAAACCTTTTCCAGCAAGCTATGTCTGACCTTGGGAGGTAAATCGCTTAGTTGTCTCACAGGGGCGCATTGACACACCAAAATGGACTCAATGGACGAGAAAATCCACCGGCAAATGGTGGGTTGACCCTGTGTTTGTATAGCGGTGTCCCTTATATGAAAAAAAACTCTGGCAGGGGCTTCAATTAATCATATCATGTGGCAAGCAAAATAGCAGACCACCAATTGGGGATGGTTTATAACATGCATTTCTGGCAAGTCATTGGCTTCTAAATTATTGGGACGGTCTACCGTTTGCCACATTACAAGAATAGAAGAAACTCTTCATCCTGGTTCTTCGCCGAAAGGTCCAGGTGCCGAAATCATATGCTACCAATTCTGAGTTTGAAATAGTCCCTGTCCCCGACAAACCACAAGATCGCCCAGAGTTACCATGGTTTTTCCGGGGGATTTCCACATTCCATTGGGACCAGAAAAAGATCCATTAACCACCATGTGGGCTTCATCCCAAATATGGAGAAAAAAAAAACCTGGGTGAAACTACCCACCATGCCTGGGACGACCCTTTTGGTACCCGCATTTTAGGAAACCTGCAGATGCTTCAAATTGAAAAACCCGTTTTCGGCTCTCGGTTTCTGCATCCGTAGTTTGCGCTGCTCTTTCAGGGCGTAGTCTGGACATAATCCTTCTCTGGAGCTTGGCATGTTAATGGCAGCCTCAGTGATGTTGTCTTGCAGCTATGAGCTTGGGAACCTTGGGAACTGCAGTCACCAAGCTCTTCCAGGTCTTCCACCCATTCTCAGGCCAGCTTTTGGCGCAACTTGTCGAGGATGGTGAGCTCACCGACTGGGGATGCGAAGGTAGGCAGGATCAAGCGTGAGGTAGGCAGGAGCCAGTGAAAAGATTTTTTGGTGTTTTAGCTACTTGGTAAGATGTTCAGCATGATTCATGATTAAACATCTATTGGAAAATCTTAAAACCTTGCAGCATTCCACAAGCTACAAGGAGAGTTTTGGGAGCACGGCTCCAACGAAACCCGTTGATGGCCTGATCCCGTGGCCTGATCGTCCTAAGGTCCGTCACGACTGAGACACTGCGGTTTTTACATAGAAAAAGATGTGGAAAACCCAGGAAACCCTAGGAAAATGAACTACGTTTATGAATGTTCGTGATGTTTTTAATGTGTATTTTCCACATCGAAATCTTAGATTACAGTATCCTATATGGTATCCATGTAAAAATCCCCTTCGAATCGGCTGGTAACTTTTATATCATGGCCGGCAAAGGATCGAGCTGAGAGTAGTTTTCACCAAGGTTTTCCCAGATAGTTTTGAAGTGATTTACCGCTTAAACCACATCATACCAGACAATATTGCCAGCAGTTGACCCAGATATGATAAATAAGATGATATTGTTACTTGAAATATATCAGACATTACTACTGAATACTTGAAATGTACCCAGACATTATTACTTGAAATATGCCCATTACTTGGAATAAATAATATCATAACCCAGATATATCATTGAAATATATCAGACATTATTACTTGGATGTGTATCCCAGGTATTGTAAGTGGCCCTAAAAACCACCCTTTGTACCCGCTTTTTTGGACCATAACTGGGGTATCATTATCATATGGGTCACCGGGTTTGTCTGAAAACGGGGGTACCCCTAACATCTATAGTTTATCACCATTTTCCCAGTGAAACATGCCATGTTGGGCCATTGTTTTCAGACAAACCCAATATGGATTTTGTTGGCTGTCCGGCTGTCCACCCACCCCGCCATCCCACGAAAAATCATCCATTTTGATGGACATTTTGGGGACAAATCCCAAGCGTGAGCGTCGGTGGCCGTCGCGGAGCCAGTTGCTGGGGTTGCTGATGTCCTCCAAAAGCTGGTCCTGGCGAACATCACAAATTTCACCGGAGGTTCTGCGGGAAATTGGCTGATGACTTTCCATTACCCTCTGGTTATGTCAAAATAGCTATTGAAAATGGCCATAGAAATAGTGGATTTTCCCAGCTAGAAAATGGTGGATCTTTCCAGTTCGCTATGTTAGTCATAACCAGAGGGTATAAAAAGGTGAACATCTTTAAATCGTCCCATAAACTAAATACTAATCCAATGAATATCGACTCGGAATCGATCCAGCACGCCAGGTTTTATAAGCGGATGCCAGCAAGAACTGTGGATATGACTCATATGACCATTAAAAATGTTGAAAATCGAAATGATCTATATAAATAATACATTATCATATAAACATATTGTTCGTTATATAAAATCCCAAGTGATGTTATAAATCTATATAATAAATGGTTATATATTGTGAAAGGAAACGAAGGAATCAACCATCAAAATCGGGATTTTAGGTCGGCCAAGGGTCCAGTTGGGCGATTACAGGCGATTACCTGTACTCGGTGCAGTTGGGGTGCTTCTTAATGGGTATACTAAATACCCTCCAGTAAATTAACATAGACCCTGCCAGATAGGAGTTGAAAGATTAGTTTCCTCCAAAAATTGCTGATTTTCAAGGTCTATGTTAATTTACCAGAGGGTAACTATGGTAGTAATCCCGATTTTAATCCCCATAAGTCGGGATATGGGGCTCCTATAACTAACTAGTGTTGAACATATTTATTGTTGTATGTATGTGTATATGTATATCTACATATGTATCCATTTATAATTGGAACTGCACCCCCAAGTAACAAGTAGTTGTTGATTTTCAAGCTGGTGGTTTTAAGGACCCAAACAAGTGATGTGCATCTCCTCTTGGGATTGCGACAGATGAACATTTCACAAAGCTATACTTCATCAGTAGGATGGACCACTACATAGTGCGTTCAAAAACATAATCCACTGGTTGGTGGTTGACCTACCCCTCTGAAAAATATGAAGGTCAGTTGGGATCATGAAATTCCCAACTGTTTCTGGAAAGTCATAAAAAATCTTTGAAACCACCAACCAGATCAGGGTTAATCCCCATGTCATCCCCATTTTCCAATGGTTTTCCCATGGTTTTCCTATGGATTTTAATGGTGATTTATGGTGGTTTAAACCCCTACAAAAGCAAGTGGGATTGCAAGCTACAAAAACCAACTAAGTGTGATGCACCACTGATCCAAGGACCGTCCACGCCGTCGTATCGGATAGTAGATCTGACAGTATCGATTTTGGCCGTCCACTCTAATCTCATCAGTCTAATCTATCCATCATACATAAGGATCGTCATGTGACGTGTGTATATGTATATATAATTATATAATTATATATATATGTGCATTATATACTACTGTGTATATATATATATAACATGTGATATAGATATATACATATGTGTTCCTCCATGAAAATTAGCAAAAAACAACCCGGCAACCATAGGGTTTAACATTGTCAGTTTACCAATGTTTACCACCAGGATGTCTGGTGGTGACATCGAACTTGAGCAGTGGCTGAAATTCACCCTGGTTGGCTGATAATGATTAATATAGTATCATATAATAATCAGTGGATTATACTAATCAATATTAATTGGATTATCCATGGATTATGGGCACTTTTTTTTATATGATACTATATCATGGATTATCCATGGATTATGAGTGTGATAATCCATAATGATATATAGTGGATTAATTGGGCATGATCATGGATTATCACACTGCATATTGAGATCTTCATGAACTGGGAATCCCGTTCTCTTGGCCAATCGTTGTGTGTCTGACGGGAAGACACACTGGATGACTGGGTACCCTCAGAACTTAGGACACCTTACCCTCTGGTAAACATACAAAAAACTATGGAAAATCACCATTTTTAATAAGTAAATCCACTATAAATCACCATTTTTTCAAGTTCGCAAACTGTTAGTTTACCAAAGGGTAATTTAAAGCACCTAAAACAACATGTGAATCACAGTGAACTCCATGGTCAATCGATAGCCCGCAAAAAACTCCATTGGATGAGTTTCTAGCCATCCAGTTGGTTGATGTTGGTTGGGGATGGAGCTGGTTGATAGGTTTCCCTACTATGGGTTATAATATGTTATAAGTTACCCTCTGGTAAACATACAAAGAGCTATTGAAAATGACCATTTATAGTGGATTTACCCATTAATAGCATGGTGATTTTCCATAGTTGTGTTAGTTTACCAGAGGGTATAAATCATAATCATTCCCAATAAGATCCAATCAGCCGGGTAGCAGTACTCCCGATTAAGAAAATAATCAACTGAGGCTATTTGAAAAGATCCTCAATTTAGGTTCAACTCGAGAATACCTGACCAAAGATAGATACCCGTAACCTAACATAACAATGGAAACTCGCCAGTTTTTAATAGGTAAATCAACTATTTCTATGGCGATGTTCCAGTTCGCTTTTTGTATGTTTACCAGAGGGTAAGTTATTACTCATATCCCATTACCAATGTAGTGCAACTTCTCTGTCAAATTAGTAGATAGTCCCATTGATACCAAAGACCAAAGGATTAGTTCCAAGACTGACCTAGAAATGGCAATTGTCCATAGCTATGTTAATGGCTCAGCCAGTGGCGAGCACAGCCCGTGGCGAGCTCAGCCCCTCCTTGCTGCCAATGGTGGAGCCCGCATACTGCGCTGTCTCCGTCAAGCCGAGCATCACCACGCTCACCTGGCGCTCTGAAGCCCGGGGAGAGGGGGCGGTTTTAAGGGGACTTTATTGGTGGTTTAACAACAGGAATGGAAAACCATAGGAAAACGGTGGATGGAAAAACCATGGGAAAAACGGAAATCCATGGAAAAACTATGAAAAACCATGGGAAGGGACATAAGAATCACCAATTTCGAGATGATTTCTAGTGATTTATGGTGCATTTGTAGCGATGGAACCAACACAAATAAGGATTCCCTAAGGATCCAAACACTTCCTTAGAAGAAGGTACTGAAAGTCCCAAATTGAGCAACTAGATAGAATGCAGTGCACAGCAATTGACCTATTGAAAATGGTGATGTTACATATACATATATATATATGTATACACATATATATATATATATATAGTAGTTGGTTCATCCCAGGAATCGTAAATGGCTTATTTTCTGTGGTCAAAAATGGCAAGCTCACAACTACTTGCGATTAGTAGGATGGACCATTGAGATCCACTAAGTATATGCATAGGCCTGGTACCCTGGCCTGGCCTGGTAAACCATAGGAAAACCATAGGAAAATCATAGGCAAATGGTGATTTAATGGTGATTAATCCATATACCCTCTGGTAATTTGTTACATAACTATGGAACATCACCATAGAAATAGTGAATTTTCCCATGAAAAATTTAAAAATGGTGATGTTCCATAGTTAGGTAACAGTTTACCAGAGGGTATATCATACTATATCCACTCTTCACCAGTCTATCATCATAATATGAGTATGGGTAAAAAATTGATATCCCCAACATAACAGAAATGAACAGAATCTGCGGGTCGGGGCATGAAAAAACTGGACCCATTCCCAGGGTTTCTGAAAATGGGGGATCCCCATGGTCGTCCATGACGACTGGATGATGACTGGGGTATCCCCATGACAACACGGAAACCTCCATTTTTCATCATGAGTAAGTCTCCATTGCGTGGGTTATCCCATCTATAAATGGATAACATAACTATAGCTATTAACCCCTACTTTTTATGGGATAACTATGGTCATTCGTCCCTCTATTAAACATCAATATTCAATATGTCCTCACATTTTTCAGTCATAATCCCATCAATATTCCATCCCATAGATCTGGGTAAATTATAATAATTCACTAACCTGAAATAAGGCCATAAAAGGGCATGATTTCCCTTACAATTCCCATGATGAACCAGGGTTCGGGAGAACAGTGAGGTCGTGATGAAATTTACCCAGATAGACCATGATATATCCATCAATCATAAACCATAGAAATTACCTAGTTATGTTCACCTTTTCTATTAAACATCAATATTCCATCCCATAGATCAGAAAAGTGGGATGATCTAAGTATGCTGATGTGCCGTGACCATGCCATGTTTCAGGCGGTGCCAGAGTTCGCCAGGCCTCCTCGTTCAACTTCCGCGCCACGGTACCTGCAACACTGTACAGTTATCCAGTTTAGATACAGGGTTTTCACATGGGTTAACTATGGTTTAGTTCTGGGTTAACTATTAGGCAGTATAATAATGGTTAACTATGGTTTATTGGGTAGTATATGGTAAGGTCCCCTTGAGGGCGTCGCGGAGTGTTGTCGTTTTTTCAGGTTTGCGTATTCTTCGAATCACTCATTTCATTGCACGTTTTACACGGTTTTCTTGTGCTTCTTTGCATTTTCTGCTGTTTTTACTGTGTTTCGTGACGTGCTTCCTGTGATAGTTGGGTTGTCGGCATGCGAGTGTTTTTTTTGGGGGGGGTGGGGGGGGGTTGGGGGGGTGTTGGGGGGGGGCTGATAACGTTCTTGTTTATTAACGTTCCTGCATCTGCGTTCTTGACACGCTTTTCACTTTTGCAAGTGACGGTTTGACACGCGTTCGATGTTTTGGTTTTGATATGTTGACGTTGGTGTCCGGTGGCGTGTGGGCATGGGGTTGGGTTTGGAGGGGGATTAGAACGTTCACGTTAACCAGCGTACCTGCAACTACTTGCTTACACGCAGTTCTTCTTTGCATTTCAGATTTTGCAACGCGCATTTTTTTGTGCGTTGTTAGAAGAGTTTTTAAAATAAAATGATCTCATGTCTTTCTTCTTGGAAGAGCATCAAGAAATGGATTCCAGACACCTTGGAAACTACTGGCCGCTTCAGCAGACGAATCAACCCACATTTGCTGCAGTACATCCGAAGTTGGCAGTGGCGATCTCAGGAAAAGAATGACTGTGTCTCACACCTGTCCAAAGCTTTGAAAGCAATGTATGCGCGATGAGGTAAAAAAAAAAAAGTTACTTCGGAGACCCCTCTTGGAAGATGCATTTTGACAACCCTCACGAAATGCAGGTTTTTAAGGCGTTGTGCGTTGAAAAACGCGCGACGCCCTCAAGAGGACCTTCCCTAGTATATCCCATAAATTCCCATTAAATCTCATTAGATTCCCATTAGTATAATAAAAGTTTATTGGATTTTATGGGAATCGAATGAGATTTTTCGCATAGACAAAGATGGGATACCCTCCAGACAACCGGAAGTTTTCCCCCTCCATGTGTGGAGTTTTTTCCATGCGAAAACCATGGCAAAATATAGGGAAATCCAGTGTCAATGGAGGTTTTGAATGGAGAAAAATCATAGGAACATATAGCGGAGGGTTATGGTAGATTCACTAGGGCTTATGGTAGATATATGGGTATGGATCAATACCTATTAATACCATTTTTAGGGGGATGAACATCCATTTACCAGCTATTTTGATGTTCACCAGGGGTACAAGGGTTTTGACCCATCCCCATATCATGATATATCGACGTCGTAAAATCAGACGATCTGAATCTGGTGAGCTCCGTCCTGAACGCTTTATTTTTTAATCGATTGAGAAAACAACCCTCGTGCAGGTCCTCAGCGAATTTCGGCAGGTCTGAAGTGGCTCTCAGGTTCTTCAACAGTCTATGGACTACCCTCTGGTAAGCATACAAAAAAACTATGGAAAATCACCATGTTCAATGGGTAAATCCACTATTTCTATGGTCATTTTCAATAGCAAACTGTTAAATTACCAGAATGTAAATTGTCCAATATCAACAATCTATGTGTTTTTTCTGATATTTTCCAAGAATCTATGCTTAATTTTTTTAATCCAGCAGCTTTCTTCGCCAGCCTTGCAGGTTGGGTCCCATACGCGTAATGTGGGTAAAAAAAAATCAGGTCATTTTTACCACCCGTGACTGGGAATGGTAACCATACAAGGTGGGGCCCCCAAACGTTATAAGTTGGTTTATAGCCCCATCTAACTATGGTTATAACTACCATAAACCCTAGTGAAATTGTAGTTATAAACCAACTGAACGCTATCTTGGGGGCCCCACATTGTACCACCTATAAAAATGGTGATCACTGGGGGATGGTAAACATATGTAAACATGGCAGCCAGTGCTACCCACATGAAAATTATGTTCCAAATGAAATCATGTGTTGGTTCATGTTGAATTTGTATCTGTTTCATGTTTTCATAACCCATATGCTCCATGTATGGAATATTTACCAACATTTGCCCTAAAAATCACCCAAATGTAGTTAAATATACCATACATGGAGCATCTGGGTAATGAGACATAAACCCAGCGGGCCATTAACAAATTTACCACGCACTAATGCGGTAAACCCAATGCCATAAAACTACCGGCATAGGGGATGATTACCCTTTTATAGCTCGTAAAAACGCTATTTTGGGAATTGTTTATTATTGGGTTTACCACATTAGATAAAGTAAATCCTGTTTTGCTTCAAAAGCACACCATTTTTTTTTGGAACCAAGACATGTTCAGCAGAGTCCTTAAATGTTCCCAAGTCTTCTCCCACATTTTCCTAACATGGGTATGGGTCAAAATTAGGTACCGCAATAATTGGATGGTGAATACTAAACTAGACTAACATCTGTGGTCCCCTAGGTCTTCCATTTCGACCCACATCCACATTTTCCTAACATGTTCCCCACGTTTTCCCCACGTTTTCCCAACGTTTTCTTCCCGTCTCCCCGGCTCCGCGGCGCTCCGCGCGCGACCGGCCTGGCTTCGCTTCCAGGTTGATGCTACAGAGTGCCATGGGGCTCTCTGCGCTGCCGCTGAAGACGGTCAGGGCGGTGGGAGCCACAAAGGACCTGGGGCTGCGAAAAAACCGGAGGATGCCAGAGATTTTTGTCGAAAAAAAGCCAGGGTTTCTTGCGAAAACTGATGATTTCTGGCGATTTTCTTGGAAAAACCCGAAGGTTTCTGGGGATTATCTTAGAAAAACTCTGGATTTCTGAAGATTTCGCCGTGAAGAAACCGATGATTTCTGGCAAAAACTGAGGATTTCTTGTTCATCTTCAGCAAATCCAAGATCAACTCAAGGTATTTTTGATAGCTCAAGTGAAATATCAACCATGACATCCTGGAAAACACGGTACACACAATGTGGCGCCCTGCGGTTGTGTTTGTAGTATCAAACTATATATATATATATACCATCATGAACCACAGTTACAGTTACATATAGTTATATTGGTTTAAACCAACTTACCTAACATACGTTGTTGCTTACATTCCAATTTTCGTGGATTAAGCCAGAATGTTTGTTCATTAGTTCATAAATTCCATTTTTACTGCTTAAACCAAGTTAACCCCCTTATTCATCTTTGCCAGCAAGCATTGGAGGTATGGGAAGTAAGGCGGCCAACTCACGAAAAAGATATTTTAACCCCCTATTTCTCCAGGTATTCTTCCAAGAATTTGGTGGGTAAATCACATGTTTTCTTGAGTTTGGTGATAAGACCCAACGTTTTGCTAAAAGAAAGAGGGTTTTTGATTCTTTCTGATTAAGAATTCGTTGAAATATGTTTTTTATCCTCTCAGTTTCACACCCCAAAAATCAGTTGAGAAACCCCTTGGTACTCAGACACGCGAAATCCCGGAAGAACTCAGAGGTTTTTCGGCTGGGAAAATCTAGATACCAAAAGACGATTCCAGCATTAGTTTAAGTACCCATCCAGTTGGCTAACAATGGTTAATAATGGTGATTAATGATAATTAATGTTGATTAATGGTGATTTTCATGTAGCCATCCAGTTGGCCAACCTAGATATAGTGGCGATATTCCAGAAATTTCTTCCATTCATATTCTACCAGCATTAAGCCCATTCTTGTGGTAAACCCAATGCCGTAAATTTGGTTTATTTTGGGGATGGTTTATGGCATTGTTTTTTGCCACATGTTAACCCTATTTAAAAAAAAAAAACTGGTGGTATCACTAGAGCATATTACAATAATGATAACAATATATATATATAGTAATAACAATATATAGTAATAACATGTAATAACCATATAATAATGATAACTAATAGATTATTGGTACAATAATAATATGATACAAGTCATGTTCCCCATATTCCACAAATATTAAGTACCCCCAAACAAATCCCTGGTGTCAAGGAACGAGGAATCGGTGTCAAAATCTGCCTTCCTAAGAACCTGGGCGGCCCCAGGAGGTGAAGGTTGATAAAGCACTGAGAGGGTTGATAAAGCAACCAGATATCTGGGTAAATTATGGTGAATCTATGGTGAATAATGGTTAATAATGGTTAATAATGGTGAATCTATGGATAATATATGAGATGATATCTGGGTAAATTTCATCACGACCGAACCCTGTTCTCCCGAACCCTGGAATCATGGTTTATGTTAAGGAAATCATGCCCTTTTATGGCCTTATTTCAGGTTAGTGAATTATTATAATTTACCCAGAGATATGTTGATGAATGGGGTTAACAATGGTTAATCATGGTGATTAATGATCATTAATGGTGATGATACCCTGCAAAACATGACCTAAATTCTTAGCTGGTGAGATAGTAGATAATCCCATACCAAAAGACTTTTCAGGATTAGTTTGTACCCATCCAGTTGGTTAACCTAGCTTGAGGATGTAGGCCAGGGGTAAGTTTGATGATTTGAACCGCCATGTTTGTGACGGGAAATTTTTGGCCCCTAGAACTATGGTGAAATATAGCCATTCATGAAGTGCAGCAAACTAAGGTTTTGGCACCCAGACTGTTTTCGGCAACCCTTACAAACCATTTTAGTAGTTAAACATAGTTTGCAACCCATTGAGTTCGATGATTTCGCTATATTTGCCTATGAAAAATGTTCGTTTTTCCAATCATATGGGAAATGCTTAGAATTTGCCAACACATCCCATGATTTCCCCATTGAGTTCGATGATTTCCCTTTTTTTTTACCTATGAAAAATGGTGGATGTCCAATCTCTGGCCAGGCTAGGCCCGGAAATCCCCATGGTTGGCCGAGCCCCGGGACGCTGCCCCTCTTGGCAGAGCTCACGTCACTCTTGGCCGCCGCAAACTTGTTGACCTCCCGGAAAATACGGGGGAGATCCTTCGTGGAAACTCCTCCCACTTAATCACTTAGATCATAGGAAAAACCATCGCAAAACCATCGCAAAACCATAGGAAAATGGTGATTTCCATGGAAAGTCGATATGTTCAATGGATTTTCACGGGAAAATTTCACAGAAGAAAAAAAAAACATTGAAAAACCCATGGAAAAATCCATGGTTTCCAGTGAAGATGTTGCCCAAGACACCAATCAAAATTGACATCCCACTTAATCAAATCCCATCCCCACCATGGCACCATGGATTAGGGGTCCCAAAATGTCCCAAAATGTCCCACATATATGGTTAGAGTTCCCTACATCCCCCATGCTTTCTGGGGCATCTTTAATGTTGCGGGGCATGGATTAGTACCTGCTGAGGGTAACCTTCTGCCCCAGTTATAAACAGAGGATGATCCTTCAAGTGGTCAACGGAAACATCTTTGGATCTATACACACATAACTAATGAACGTCAAAAACTGTATTACGCAAATCTTCGAAAAAATGCCGAACAGCTTGAAAACCCAGGATATTGGTTCGATGATATTTACTTCATGCTTCCAGGTTTCAATCATGTTCTATCTATATATGTTGGGCTTGCTACAAGTCCAAGTTCGTGAGGTTACACCCCCGACCAAACAAATTGAGTGTACTGCCCCACTCTGGACATCCATTTGCGCATGTTCATAGACCATAGAATGGAGGTATTTATATAATATGATCGAGGGATGAGATGGGTATGGGCCAAATTGAGTACCCCCATATTTGGATGGATGAAAATAGATGAAAATCTGACCCATGACTTGTAGGATGGCAATAAAATGATGATTTTACATAGATAAAATTACCCTCTGGTAAACAAACATAGCTATATTACGGACCCATGACTTAGGACCTAGGCCCACATAGTGACATAGTCCTTAGTCACTGGTACGTAATATATTGAAAATCACCATGTTTAATTGGAAAATCCGCTATAAATTATTTCTATGGCCATTTTCCAGTTCGCAAACTGTAAACGTTTACCAGGCCGGGTAATCTCATCCCCCATGTTTGTTTACATCCATTACTAGAGGCTAATCCAAAAAGAATTTGGCCAGGTCCCCAAGGTTAATATAGGGAAACCACCTATTGTTATCACCCATATTTTCCAGTTCGCTTTTTGTATGTTTACCATTGTTTACCATGTCCGGTATGGCCCTGTATGGCATATTATGGCATTTTATGGCATTTTTTGTTGCAGATCCCAAGAAAAGTTGTTTCGCACCTGGAAGTGATGGTCCCTGGGGAGCTCTTCGGTCAAAAAGAGAGTCTCCCCCTCATTGTCTTCCATCAAGACCAGTGCAAAATCATCCTGGCACGGTTGATCAGCATCGGGATCGATCTTTGGGAGTGTTTTTTGTGATTTTAGGGTGATTACCCTCTGGTAAACATACAAAAAACTATTGAAAATCACCATTTTCAATGGGAAAACTCACTAATTTTCAATAGCTATGTTAAATTACCAGAGGGTAACAGAGATTTTAACCATTGAACATGGTGGTTCCAATGGTATTTCATGGGGATTGAATGGGATTTGCGTGGGATTTGATGGTGATTCATAGGGTTTTTGAACCGCCCAGAATGGGATGTATCCGGTAATTCAACCTACCAGTATGGAAAATGGATGAACATAGCCCACTTAGCTCCATGAGTTCTGCTGCTTTTATTTAAGGGCCATGTGAAATTCGTCGATCTACTTTTTCATAGAATTGGATGATGGGAAAATTTTAAACCGGAAAGCCCGATCAATTTGATGGTAAAAACCCATGGGTTTCCGGTTAAGATTTTCCCCAACAAACCAATCCAGTGACTTTTGGGTTGCTTTCTCCTGCAGTAAACATAGCCATAGCTTTGGAAAATTCGGGAGAAACCCTAGGACATGATCTGCATGCTGGATTTTCCACACGTATGTTCGTTTATTGGAGGGTATATCCCAAGACACCTTCGCCCAAGTGTTTCAATCGTGAAAAGATGTGAAAACTATCTAATCGCAAAATAACGTAAGGTTTTTAACAGGCTAAATTATGGGTAATTAGTCTAATATAGAACACCAAAACGATTCGAAACCAGAAAATCTACCCTTCACTAGTTGTTTTACCCTCGAAATCACTCCAAAAAAACCTCCAGACACCTCGGTTTCAAAGCCACACCTGGTCTCCGTAAATTCCCACAAAGGCGCAATCTCCTGGCGACCAAAGTCCGAAGTTTTTTGCCAGGAAAAGCCATGGAAAACCCATGGAAAACCCATGGAAAACCCATGGAAAACCCATGCGAATTGGCCCAAAATGATGATTTCACCGGCGGATTCAGCGAGGCCATGGATCTTGAGCCTTCTTTAAGCCAACTTCGAAGAGGATCTGGCTAAAGCAAGAAGAACTGATCTCATTAGATTGGATTCTTGTGACTGGCAGGGTTTTTGACCCATGATTTTTAGCACAAAGTTAGGGTTGGATAAACATCCATTTACTTTCCGGAGCTTAGTAGGGAATGGGGGGGAACACATGCATGTCCCAATGGAAAATCCACTACGACCGGGGGATCTTTGTTGGTCTTCACTGGGGTAGGCTTTTGACCTGTAGCCAACCAGCAAGAATTGGACCAAAGCAACAAGAATTGGGATTGTTAATGGTTATATCTTGGGATTTATTGTAATTTGGGATTCTTAATTGACCATATCAAACATATTGTAATTGGGATTTACATGTGATCTATATTACAATATGACGTTTGATAGGTTGCTGATGGTTTAGATTAGGGCTATGTTTTTCGGGGCTGAAAACGGTGGATTTAACTGAGTAAACCTCGGTAGTATAGGTAAGCTGGCTGGAAAGTAACTAGGCGAACGATTTGATTTACGGTGGATACCCTCTGGTTATGTCAAAATAGCTATTGAAAATTGCCATAGAAATAGTGGATTTACCCATTGAAAATGGTGATTTTCCATAGTTTTTGGTAAGTTTACCAGAGGGTCTCTATATAGTTCCATGATATTCCATGGGTGTCAAAGCTACAACTCACGCAGCCCTTCCTGTATGTGAAATGCCAAGCATCCGTGTACTGGGCCCAGTTCTAAGTTGGTTTATGTTCATTCGTCTAAGTTTGGAAACTCTAGAGATACATATCCCCCATACCCTCTGGTTATGTCAAAATAGCTATTGAAAATCCATTGTATAGTTGATTTACTTATTAAACATGCAGATTGTTCATAGCTATGTTAATTTACCAGATGCTATTTTTTACCCAAAAGTTAGTGAAATAGACTCACTTACTGATCCTTTGGGAGGGGAAGGGAGAAACCCACTTTAGCAGTGTTCAAAATCCGAACGACATTCCCGTTCCTGGATTATTACAATCCCCAAAGATCATTAAATATCCCAAATTGTTGGTATAGTATAATCCCATATAAATCATCAACCAAAAGTATAGTATAATCCCAAAATTGGCGAGTGTAATCATATATAATCAGATAATCCCATATTGGCTAGTATAATTCCAAAATCCCATTTGAGCCATTAAAAATACCCCTATCCCATCTCATTATACTAGTTGGTTGATAGGTTTCCCTACTATGGGTTGTCATAATCCCCAGTAAACCAGGTAGTATAATCCCCTATAGCAATCAATTAACCAGGGTAATTCCAAAATCCCATTTGAACACTGCGAACGCCATCGGCCATCCCGCCTGGTGCTAAAGCGGCCGTAAGGCGCACGGCCAACACGGCCAAGCAGCTGAGCAGTGCCGACTTCAGCATGGCCAATGAAACCTGGAATCGTCCAAGAAATACGGCCGCAAAACTAAAACGGTGATTTCATGGTGATATCATGGTCATTGAATGGTGATTATTGATATTATTGGTGATTTATAATAATAGGATTTAGTTAACATTAGTTAACTATGTTGGTAAAGACAACTCCAACTTCACTATGGTTTATGGGCCCTGCGTTGTGGAGGTGATGTTCAAACTCTCCAAAAGGGGACAAATAAAACAACGACTGAATTCTTGCGCAGGGAATGGTCCAAGAACAGAACTGGACTTTGCGATTGTATTTCCAAAGGGTTCAACTGGGTGTCTTCGTTTCTTTACTTTTTTTTGTTTTAGATCACTTTATCATTATCCTCTGGTAATTTAACCATCTGTACTTCAATAGGTACATCATCCTCTAATATTAATCATTAACCATCATTAACCATCCATATTACCCTCTGGTTATGTCAAAATAGCTATGGAAAATTGCCATGGAAAATTGCATGATGTACCTATTAAGACCGGCGATTTTCCACTGCAAACTGTCAAATTACAAGATGGTAGAGTTCTCTTCTTAGCTTTGCAGAGGAAACCAAAATCATGGGGATTCACTGACTAATGATGACTAATGAGGTGAAGATGAACAGTCTTTCGGCGTATTTTTGAATGGAGCTGTTAACAACCCACCCCCCTCCTAGGTGGTCCAAAGGGACCCCGCGAATCACATGTTGGTTTCGGCAACCAGCTACCACTATTCTTCGTCACCTGACTAGTGGATTTGGCAAAAAAATCCCTATGATATCTGTGCCCAGGAACCAACATGCGTACCCTTTGGTTATTTAACATAGCCATGGAAAGATCCACCATGCTATTAATAGGTAAACCATCGAACTAAATGGGCCATGGCTTCCATGGCTATGTTAGTCATAACCAGATGGTTCGAAGTATATCATTACCCCTCTGGTATACATATACCAAGAACATGAGAAAACTATATCACCATGAGAAAAAGAGGCAAATCAAATCACAAATGGCCAATTTCAATAGCTATATTACGTGTATTGGTTTACCAGAGGCTATGTGTTTTTTTTCCCGGACATGATCCTCGCAGGATCATCCAAAAAAAAATGCAGTTCGAAAAGGTGAACCCTGGATGAATAAATCCCGTACCAAACGGCTGTTTCAAAAAGGGAGGGTACCATCAAAAAGTATCAGATGAAATGACTAGAATGGAGGAATACCCATGGAATACCCCCCCCTTATTTTGATAAACCATGGTATCCATGGTTGATTTTCGGGTTTGACATTACTAAGCTTTATTGGACCCATCCTAAGCTCGTCGTTGAGATCTCACTGCTCAGGATCATCTGAGTTGGTCGAACAAATGCGCTCGACAAGCTGAATCCCAAGACAGGTTAACCCCCCAAGATCAGCCACAAATATGCAATCCTGCGTTTTTCAATGGCTCATCTCTATTGTGAATCCATAGGAACTTGAAAATCTACCAATGGACATCCACCAATTTGTCGATGATCTTTACATAGCAAAGCCTCCATACAAACTAAATGGGCCATGTTCAATAGCTATTTTGACATCACCAGAGGATAGATATCCCATATCCATCCATAATATCCCATATCCATCCATATCCCCATGATTTCTATCATAATATCAACTTTTACTGACAACTACCATCCCACTCTTAGCCATTAAAAACCTTCATCATCCCAAGGTTGTGCAGAGCTCGGATGATCATGATCATCCCGTGGAGTGTAACTGCTTAGCAGCTTAGCACAGATCATATCATTAGCTTTCCCGGCCTGGTAAACGTTAACAAAAAACGGATGGGAAAGATCCACCATGCTATGAAAATGGGTAAATCCATGTAAATCCGCTATTTCGACTGGGCCATTGTCAATAGCAAACTGTAAACGTTTACCAGAGGGTATATATTATAATAACTGGTTGGTGGTTGAGCCCTACCCCTCTGAAAAATGATGGACTTCGTCAATTATCATGAACAAAATCCCAACTGAATGGAAAGTCATGGAAAGTCATAATCCATTCCATGGTTCCAGTCACCACCAACCAGGCTTAATCCCCATGAAATCCCCATTTTCCTATGGTTTTCCCATGTTCCAAACATGTCCAAACCAAGCAGATCAATCAGCAACCGCAAAACGCCATGGAATCTGCCTCAATTTCGCTTCGAGGGATCCTCCAAGTGGAACCACTGGCCATGTAACAGGAACCGATGAAAAATTGGAGGTACCGATTCCTACCATCTATTTTGGGCCTTTTATAATTTTAGGCCTACCATCTGGTTATTTAACATAGCCATGGAAAGATCCACCATGCTATTAAGAACGGTAAACCATCTATTTCTATGGGCCATCTATACCATGGCTATGTAATAAATAACCGGAGGGTAAATTTCAGGGAATATCCCCAGAAAATATATATGGCCTTGATTCGGATCCTGGAGATCTCCCTCGATGAAAGTTCCTCGATCCGATGCCCAAGCGGCTGAAGCTCGATGGAAGGAGTCCACAAACTCACTCGAAGCCAAGGTGTCAGCGGATTCTCCGGATCTTGGGAGGGTACCCTCTGGTAAACGTTTACAGTTTGCTATTGAAAATGGTGATTTATAGTGGATTTTCCCATTAAAAATGGTGATTTTCCATCGTTTTTTGTATGTTTACCAGAGGGTACCCTCCCAAAAAATCCAGGCCAGCGTCCCGATCATCCTCTGGGAGATAAAAAAGCGTCCCGAAGGCGAGCCAGCGAAGTTTTTTGTTGCTTTCTTTCAGAATGTATATCATGGTAAATATGGAGTTGGATGGGTTTATATGTGTATATATATATATCAACTTAGAATATCTTTGAATTGGAGGGGTACCACTGCCAGTAGGTGTTGTTCTATTTATCTGGGTACAGCTCAAAAATACGCATATCATGGATATTCATGGACCCTATGGTAAAGATACAGAAAAGCCCCAACTGCTTATCGAGAATCAGAGAGAAGGTACCTTTGTAAATGGGAAACTAACATAAACTAACTACCCTCTGGTAAACTAACATAACTATGGAAAATCACCATGCTTTTAATGGGAAAACCCACTATTTCAACTGGGCCATTTTCCATGGCTATTTTGACATAACCAGAGGGTAAGTTTATTCCAGGATGGTCAAATGCTCCGTGCGGCGAGGCACAAAAATCCCTGGATATGTCACTGGGCTATGTGGAAAAGTCCATGGTTATCCCATCTATGAACGGCCTATAACTATGTCTGGTTGGTGGTTTGAACCTACCCGTCTGAAATATGAGTTCGTCAGTTCGGATGATGACATTCCCAACTGAATGCAAAAATAAAAAATGTTCCAAGCCACCAACCAGATGATCATTAACATTAACCAGTTACTAAGCAGATATAGGTGTGTTGAAAATAGGATATATTATGATATATTCAATTCAAATGGCAATTTTGGTGGGGTAATTCGAATAATCCATTGGGGGGTACCATATTTTCAGTCAAACCCATATTATGCAAGGTTCGTTCATTTCCAACCTTAGATATGAATTTTATAGACACTGAAAAAATGGATGAGCATCTTACAATATCTTGCAATGTTTTTCTCGCGGTCCTTCCCTATTCCCTATGGGGATGAAATGTTGCCCTCATGACAAAACAAAGGATGTTATCTGATGTTATAGTACCCTCCAGTAAATTAACAGTTCGACCCTGCCATTCATCGGGGTTGAAAGATGAGTGAATCCACTAAAATGTCGGTGATTTTCAGGGTCGAACTGTTAATTTACCAGAGGGTATATTACACTTTCATAGAACAACACACAGCTAGGGTTAACAACCCAAAGAGCCCGCAGCACGATTTTCATTCTGTTTCTATATTTTCTATCCTGTTGGGGGGTTAGAAAAGGTTACCCGTGGTCACCCGATACCACCAAGCTAAAAATTCAAACATCAGCATGGTCACCCTTCATCCAATACACCCGGAACCTGCCTCAAAAAACACCCGAAACACTGCGACAGGAGGACCCTCTTGAATTGTTCTGCATTGCATTATTTTTCACAAGCAAAAAAGTGGGGTAAGAAATGATACCAGTCCCCAATAAAACACATGTCTTTATACCATGGTGAATCTTAGATACCTGTCAATTTTTATTGTTTTTTCTCGTTATATAATTAGTACATTTTACCATTGATAGCAAAAGATTAAAGTACTACAGTTAAGTATCTAACCAATCGGTTGACCCAGATACAATGCTTGCAAACCAATGCCAGCAAATCGCGCACAGCTTTTTGGGCTCGAAGGCCTTATGAGCCCTTCAGCGATTCGCATCGATTGAAGCGCTGGCTAGCTGCAAATCGATGTTTTGGTGTCAATTGAAAACCCCTTCATATTGCTTGAGGGTTGGGCGCAGGTTGCCAGCACACGATATGTTGAAAGGATTTGAAAAGATTTTGTCTCGGATTGTTTCGGGATGTTTCGGCTTCATCCCACTTGTTCATGGTGGCCCAGACCCAAATGATGGTCGTTGCGTGAAATATTCCAGTTGCAAATTCCAGTTGGGATCACATCTATTTTCCAATTCTGGATCCTAACGTCAGGGATCATTCCATTTTTTGATTTGGGGATGGGTCAAAACCCTGGTACCTAGTGAACCCCAAAATAACTGGGATTTCTGGATGTTCATCCCACTAAAAATGTATCTATAGGTATTGACCCATACCCATTTGAATGATTTTGAATGGTGCAACCAAGCCAACTGTCCAACAATTTTGTTGATGTCCAACTCTGCATTCCATTTTTTGTTTGATTTTGAATCTCGTTTTTTTGCAACCCAACCCTGTCGTCGTGCCTGGAAAATGCAGTCAGGGGTCGCCCAAAATGTTCAGAAAGTGCTGCCACTGTTTGAAGGGTCTCGGGTCGACCATGCCACTCAGTAGGGTCTGATCTTGGGGTAAGTTTGATGGTTATCACTGTATCAATGGATTGGTCTACGGGAAATTTTACAGGAAAACCCTATATTTAATGGTAAAAACCATGGTTTCCTGTAAAATTTCCCTTAAACCAATCCATTGACTGTAGGACTTTAGCCGCCGCGAAGTGGAAAATAAGCGCCATAACTATGGTGATATAACATTATAAAACCATTTACTAGTGGAATTGCACCCTCAAGTATGTGCTTGGCGGCCACAGTTGTGGTCTTTCAACTTTCAGTGAAAGTTGAGCACAAAGATGATTGCTACATTTGCAACTAACATCAAGCAACAGTATCAAAGAGTCATAGTTCCTACGGTTGAGCGGCTACAATGTGGGGCCCCCAAACGATAGCTAAGTTGTTTATAACTCCAATAACTATAGTTTATGATACATATACCTATAGTTTTCATGGGGTTTATAAACCAACTTAGCTATCTAGGGGGGAAAACATTCTCATCACCCTTCTGGCCGGAAAAAACTCACAATCCGCTTCCTTCGAATGCAAGCAAGGAGTATGGATAAAACATATGTAGATATATTATATACATATTATATATATATATACGTATGTATAATATATACATATATGTATATAGGTGAAAGACATATGTGTATATATATATATACATACTATATATATATACTCTGTATATATATATATACTGTGTATATATATATATATTATGGATCTATATATATAGATATTGATAAATTATGATAAATCAAGCACCAGAAAAGTTCGGCCAAAAATGGGATGATTTCCCTATCCACTCGCTTCTGAAACGTACCGTCGCGGTGCGTCACGATGTCAGATACGCCATGATGTGCATCCCAGTTTGTTAGTGGTGCATGGTCCATATACGCAACAACATGTAAATATATAACTAAACTACATATATATAATATATTATAATATGATATGTGTATTATCATCCTGAAGTAGATAGAATGTATAATTTTCGATATTCCCATTTTTTTGTGAGGATTTTTGGAACTGTCCATATTCCATCTACTCCAAGATCTCACTATACCCGGAAAACGTACCAAAAAAGATGTGGAAAACCCCACGGTTCGCTCAGGGAAATCATCTACAAGGTGGTGCCCCCCCAGTTATGAGTTATAACCCCCATTAAGTATAGGTATATCTACCATAAACCCTAGTGAAATTGGGGTCATGTTCACCAACTTAGCGATTCCGAACTGGGGCACCACCTTGTACAAATGGTGGGGGTTCCACATCTTTTTGGTATGTTTACATGAGTCAAATACTTTACATACCTGAGTTTAAGGTAGTGACGTCGCGACGGGAGGTCGCTAATGTTTGTCGCTTGAAGTCATGTTAAGTCACGTTCAATCCCAAGTTTCCTCGGTTAACCATGATATTTTCATTTTTCTATATCCCCAAGAAAATCCCAATTCTATATCCCCTCTCTATATCCCAATGTTTCCGCAATTTACCCGCTTGTTTCCCTCAATGTTCCTTAATTGGGGATGGGTCAAAACCAATGATTACATATATGATTACCATATTTGGGGGAATAAACATAAATTTCCAGTAGCTACTTCAGCACTTCAGCACCTGGCTGGGTGTTGACTCATAGCCGATGTCATGGTATCGTGGTATCCTCTGGCGTGGTCACCCTTCGCTTGGTCTCTCAGACCTCTCTATGCGACCCTGTTTCAGACACGGTCCAGCACCAAAGAGTTCGGGCAAAAAGGTGGCGTTCAAACTTCAAACGGAGCTTTTTCATAAATAAACCAGCCATATGGGTTGATGGTACAAGCCATCTTAATATGGGGATGGGTCAAAACCTTATTGTACCCCTAGTGAACATCAAAATAGCTGGGATTTATGGATGTTCATCCCACTAAAAATGTATCTATAGGTATTGACCCATACCCATATATTTTAATGGCTTCTAATTGGGGATGGTTTATGGATTCTGTAAATGGCATTGCCTATAGCAAAAGAGTAAACCTCTTATTTCGAGAAAAAAAAACAAGACTTAAATGTCTGTGTTTGATATTTCTAGTGGTGAGTTTATACATGGTACATGGATGATCTAAGTACCAGCAAGGAGACCCATGGTTGATGGGATTGTTTATTGGGCCACATGATAGCTGTAACCCCCAAGAAGACAGGTACTTCCAGTCTTTTTAGTAGAACCTACTTCTCTATCCGTTGTGGTTTTATGATTCATGTGCAAATGTTATTCGAAAACAGTGCTCTTGTTGCTGAATATGAGCAAAACTCCCAGGAACATCCACTGTCATATGCATATTGTATATGATATACGCAAACATGATGTGAAACATGAAATGTGTTACCCTCCAGTAAATTAACAGTTCGACCCTGCCATTCATCGGGCTTGGAAGACTAGTTGCCATTAAAAATGGGTGATTTTCAGGGTCGAACTGTTAATTGACCAGGGGGTAGATGAAAAATCCCCGAGAAGAGTTAACCAGTACTGGATTAACCCTACTTATCCCTGATCACTGATAACCCTTAACATCCCTTAGCCATTAATAGTTAGAAGTACCACAAACCAGCTACAAATCCCCAAGCAGAAAGAAAAGTGTGAAACCAGAATGGTCTCACGGCGATGGGTTTCCACCACTCAAACCCAGGGATGTTTCGGATTTCGGCATCTAATATCGAAAATGCAAGCTGATGTACCACTTCTTTTACCATGCTTTTCATAAGGGTTAACAAAGGTTAATAATGGTGATCAATGATCATTAATGGTGATTAATCATTGCTAATCTTAGATACCCTGAAAAAAAAAAAAACTAGATGGTGAACATAGATATTCCCATTGATACCAAAAGACGATTCGTATGGCTTAGTTTGTACCCATCCAGTTGGTTAACCTAGTAAACTCAAGAAAAACCTAAGGAGATCCACTGACTGTTAAGAGCATCATCTTCCCTTTGAGATTTCCAGTAGTCGAGCGCGCAGCCACCTTGAGAAGTTTCGCAAAATCATGGCGCTTCGGATGGCGTGCCGTGTACGGAACATGTCCCAGAAAAAAAACACAACGGAACATCAGCGGCAAAAAATGTTGAAAAAAACCATGAAGATGTTCCGAATCATGTTGGTTTCAACGGCCATTTCAGGTACCAATTGAACTACCTATGGCATTTTTGTCAGGCCTATGATTCAGGGCCTGGGGGGATACGCCCCCAGTTCATCTGGCTAAAATGGTGGATCTTTGGGGAGTCCCAAAAAATATCCCCAAGGATCCCATAACAAAAGCAGAATTTCCAATGGTTCAATCATGTTTTTCATATTTTTTCATCACATTTGGGGGTGTCCAAAGTCATGGGGATACCCGGATACCCAAAGTCATGGATGGTCTATTTCATGGCTTTTATCCGAAAATATTCCATGGATGATGAGTCCTGGAGTCCTGGGGTACCCCCATGACAAAACGGAAATCTCCAGTTGTCTATCTTCACAGCCACAACACCAGCCACTGCACAGATTGCACAGTTACTTCGATGGAAAAAAAAAACCTCAATGACCTGATGTACAACCTCTAGGAGTTGGTTATTTTTCGATCATTGATTGGTGCCCCATTGGTTAAAGGGATGCATTGGTTGGGCGTTAATTGACTTTAATTGGTTCATTGGATTTCTGAATGATTACCCGGCCTGGTCAACGTTTACAAAAAAACGGATGGGAAAATCACCATATGATTTTCATCTGCGTTGTTTCCATCATCTTTTTCATCATAGATGCAGATAGATCACGGCCTAGAGTTTTACAATAAATGAATAAAGTAACATCTGTGTTCATGTGACTTTGATAGTTTGAGGCATCTTAGCTTCTAGCTAGTCCCATGTGCTTCTAGCAAAGATAGAAGAGGAAAACTTAGCAAGATGGTAGCCTTCAAGCCCTGAAACAAGAAGATATTTGATATGTGTATTTGTTGTCCTAAGAAATCTTAGAAAAAGGTGGTCACACCTGATGAAGCAGTAGTGTGTCAGGAAACAATCAACTGCAAGGACCTGAAAGCAAATCAATCAAAACTGGGAAAAAAACAGTTGGGGAGAAATATACTGAAAATATACTGCAATACAAAAGATTTTTGCCATGAAATATTGGATTGAGCCATTGAATAGAGACAATTGGAATTCAATTTTGGTTGCGCCATACTCAAACAGCGTAGTGTTTGCTTCTATAGAAAGCATGTCTTTTTTAAGCAAGCGTGAACAGCAGGAAACCACTGAAATCCCTGCATCATAAAGAGATATGGAGAGATATGGTATGTTTTGCTATCGGATAAGCATGCTGTTCTCTTGAAATATGTAAATATGTATGGTGTGTTCTAAGCATAGATTAAAAACGCCGTGTTTAAGGACAACAGCATGCTTTTCATGGAAAATATGTGTTTAATGAGGTGGTTTAAGACATGTTGCATCTTCGACAAAGATGCTATCTCTTCAAAATAAACTTGGATTTCTTAAAATAAATGTTCCACATTTGAAAGGGGTTCACTCTTTTCCTAAGCAATCCTTCATTTCTATATACATCAAATGAAAAGTGCGCTGGTTGAGAAAAGTAATATGCATAAAACATATATATATATAAGAGACTGTCTGTGTATTTACATATGTATATATATGTTACTTTTGTATGCTATACTTAAACGATATACTTAAATATATATATATATACTTGCCTAAAAAATATATGATTAGTTGAAAAAGTATCAAAATAAAGGGCATTGCATTTTTGAAGGCTATACTTGTTTTAGGCATATTGCGCCTCTTAAATGTACAGTTTGCTGACGAGAAGGTCGCACGTTCTGCAAGGAATATATATATATATATGACCTTATCGAGAGGAAACCAATAGCAATAAAAAAATGCACAATTCAAAAGGAGTATGAATCAAGAAGGGACCAAAAAGGCAAAGAAACAACCTCCACAACAACAGAAAAGGAGGTGACTGACACTGGCCAAGACCCAAAAACCCTGGAAAAACAAAAACACACTATTTCTAGACTCTTGGGGGGGGCTCCCAGCCAAGCTGGGAATTGTTTTTTTTGTTTTTCGAATGTGTTTGTGTTTTTTTGTTTTTCTAAGATCCCCCAGGTGTTTGGCAGCTGCGTCTATTCAAATCCATTAGAACCAATGAAATTTTCAGTGCAGTGCATTAGCTCCTACCCCCTGGTAAATTAACAGTTCGACCCTGAAAATCACCAAGTTTTAATGGAAACTAGTCTTCCAACCCCTATATGCCAGGGTCGAACTGTTAATTTACTAGAGGGTAAATCATTGCGTTGTCAAATACTAGAGGGTAAATCATTGCGTTGTCAAATACTCTGGTGGCCTTCACAGAACCTCCCAGAAACGCACGTTGATCACTTTGACAGTCGACAGTCGAGTCACAACTTGGGGTCGTTTTTTCAGTTCACTCGCACAAGTGGTGGCAGTGGGTCACGTCGAGACGTAATAACATGCAAATGTGCAGAAATATTACCATCTGGTATTTAACATAGCCATGGAAAATCCCTTATAAATGGAGGTTTCTAGCTGGGAAAATCATCCATAAATGGGCCATTGCTTCCATGGCTATGTTAAATAACGTACCCTCTGCTCATTTGTTGCATCGCTATGGAAAATGATCATTTATCGATGATTTACCTGCTAAACAGGGTGATGTTCCAAGTCGCTATGCTAAATTACCAAAATTACCAGAAGCCTTTCATGGATTTTGTTTGTCCATCACGAAGCTTGCGAGACATGTTCCATGTTGGCGCCTATGGATTGACGAAGAAAAATCACTGAAAAGTGTCGTTTGACCTCGATGGAAGCCACAAGAGATATAAACCATGCCACCTTCGTTGGCCATGCGTTAAGTGAAGTGGGTTTTTTGATCCAGTTTTCTAGCCATTGACATGGCTATGGAATATAGAATCCAGTATTTAATATTATCTAATCAATATTAATCAATTGTATACCTCCATGGATGAGATTCATTCATTTCTATCCCCATTTTATCATTTTGCGGACTTGCCATGGCGATACGTCTTCGATACCTCCTTTGTTTGGGGCCGAAGCCCTGGTTTTGTCAAGCACCGATAATCATCAACCAACCAGTGGGGCTTTCAACAATCTGGGTACCCTCTGGTAATGACTAACATAGCTATTGAAAATGGCCCAGTCGAAATAGTGAGTTTTCCCATAAACAATGGTGATTTTCCATAGTTATGTAACAGTTTACCAGAGGGTAAATGAGAATCTTTCACTCACCTGAATAGTTCGGCCATACTTTCGGGGATGATTTCCCTAAACTAAACCATGATGAACCAGGGCTCGGGAGAACAGGCGACCCGGTCGTGGTAAACTGCCAAACCACCTTGCAGTTCACCAAGCCAAAAACATCTGGTTTGTGGAGCCCGGCGATCTCCACAGCTATGCTTTGAAAAGGATCAAAATGACATGCTATGTGAGCATCAATTGTGTTTATACCATTTTATACCTGTGAAAACATCAACTGGTTGGTGGTATACCTACCCCTCTGAACAATATTAGTCAATGGGAAGGATTGTCCCATATATTATGGAAAATAAAAAATGTTCCAAACCATCAACCAGTCAAGAGTAGCCTTCCAGAAATGCATTTCTATCCAAACTATGGCTAAGAGCTTTTCCAATTGAAAGGGTTGAATCATCATCAATTTGGCACACAGGTTGACAAATAAATAGTTTAGCGAAAGTCATCAGTGGGTGATCAAAGCCTTCAACAGCCAAGAACCTCCCCAAGATCTTTGTCTTCCATTAAATCAATGGCCAGTTCAGGAACTAAATTGGAGGTACCGATTCCATATATATATATAAGGCCTAAATTTCAGGGAATATCCCCACAATTCATATAGGCCAAAAATATGGTACCTTTACGTACCTCCATCTGTTGGATCCTGAAATTCCCTCTGATTAAACCTAATCCCCAAAAAAAAACGCATCGCCAGGAGGCTTTCAGTGCGTTTCTCCTCCACTTACATGATGCCGCGTCCAACCAAAGCCATCAACACACCTGCCGCTGTGAGCCCCCGGTTGGTCCCTCCATTTGGAAAGGAGGCTTGGTAGTGCTTGGTGGTTTGGGCAAGTCCCCTAGAAATTGGTGATGTTACAGTTGAAAACTAGTGGGATAAATGGCAAAAAGAATGGTAAAGGTATCTACTCCCCAGAAAACCAAAATCTCCTTGTGTGGCTATTATCCACCTAATTGTGGTTCAAGAACCTTTTCCCACAAAAATCAGCATATAATCATACAGGGTATCCTCCAGTTTTGAAAACAAACAACGGGCCAGGAAAAATTTTGGTGGTCAATCCTACAGCATGCTCAGTATTTTCTATGAAAAAAATCATGATGAGATCATTGAGAGCCTTTGGTGTTTTTTTTCGGCCCCAACAGGAGAATCGGATTGGATGTTGAAAAATCTTCAATGTTCACCAAAAAAATCTAATGTGTCATCGCTACGCTGATTTTTTTTTGGTTTAGTGTGACACCTCATAGAATTGGATGATGGGAAAATTTACAGGAAAGCCCTATATTTGATGGTAAAAACCATGGTTTCCTGTAGATTTTCCCTTCCAGTGATACACCTCATGAAAACTTCGATATCATATCTACCATAAATGAAGCCAGGACCGTTGCTGCCGCACTGCTGCAGACGGTGTGCAGCGTTGCTGCAGACCGTCCGAGCTATATCTACCAGAATCTACCGTCCTAAGCCCAGTGATAAATCAGTTCTTTCACCAACTTAAAATCAACAAAAAATCAACTAGAAAGATCCATTAGAATCAACATTATCCAGTCCCAGCACTATGGAAAATCACCTATTTAATGGGTAAATCAACTATTTCGACTGGGCCATTTTCAATAGCTATGTTAGTTTACCAGAGGGTATATAATACAATATCTTGTTGGTGGTTGAGCCTACCCCTCTGAAAAGTATGAGTTCGTCAGTTGGGATTGTGACCTTCCCAACTGAATGGAAAGTCATAAAATTCATGTTCCAAACCACCAACCACATATATATATACAATTATATATACATATATAATTCTATAAGATACTCAAATCTTCGAGAAAAAAAAATAGCCTCCGGTAAACTAACATAACTATAGAAAATCACCATTTTTAATGGGAAAACTCACTATAAATGGCAATTTTCAATAGCTATGTTAGTCATAACCAGAGGGTAGCCATCTTTCTTGCTACAGTCAGACCGCCCGACCGACTTCACCAAGTCACCGAAGGCCAGGCCGCTGTGGCAGGCGGCATCCGGGGGTCCCTCGGTGCCGCCGCCGAGGTCCGTCGTGGTGGCCTCATCTGTGGCCTCCGGCGCATCCGTGGGCTCCGGGGAGGTGCCCCTCTTTAGGACCCAAAAAAAGATCTGAAAAATCACATTTTAAATGGATCTAAACTGATTTCAAGAGATTTCAACTGGAGATCATTTTTAGATCCATTTTAATAGTCAAATCAATCACACGGTTTGATTGGTTTGTGCAACCATACCACCAAGTTGATGCTTGATTTATCACTATTGTGCTGGGTAAGTCCCAAAAAGAATCCTATCCGCAATCAAATCATCCCGGAAGGTAATGTTGGTAAAACAATAATAAACCATATTCAATGTCATCATGTTTGTAATTATAGGTGGTATAAACTGTATGAATCATTCCCAGTCATGGGTGGTTTCTGGCATTGTTTTAACCCACATTAATCTTAATCATTGCTAGATACCCTACAAGAAATAACAAATTCTTAGCTGGTGAACGTAGATACTCCCATACCAAAAGACTAAAGGATTAGTTTCTACCCATCCAGTTGGTTAACCTAGTTTCATGGATTGAAACATGGAGAATGTTTAGCATTGAAATGGAGATGTATAGTATAGCAAAACCATAGATGTGAATGGAATGAAAATAGAATGGAAGTGTGAATATAGCGAAATCAGTTGTAAGATGTTGTAAGTAAATACGCGATTTACCTTGAATAATGGACTTTAAATGATTTTATATAATGGTTGTAAATGGATCTTTCAACAGATTTCAACAGATTTCAACTGGAGATCATCCGGGTTCCCGGGCCACCCAAATGCCAAACGACACTTTTTTTTGGAGCATCCACCCCCCGAACGATGCCCACTGGTTGAATCTTTTGGATCTATTCATGGCAAGACTGGGACCAATACTTAGGGGAATTTAATGAATTTAGAATTAGGGGGATGGGACATTTCTCATGGAAAAAAATGTTTTTTAATGTCCCACTATACTATACCCCATTCTCCCATTCTCGAATCGTGATATACGGGAGATGGAGAGTTTAGGATAGTGACACTGAACAGCGACTGTAAGTGGTTTTCCGAGTGAATCAAGGAATGAACAGCAAAGGAACGAACGAATGAACGAATGAATGAAACAACAAAAGAGTTGGGTTAATCAGTTCGTAAATGATTGAATGAAAAAATGCAGGACTGAGCGAACGAATGAATGACTCAACAAGCGAATGGATGAAGGACACATAAACTTAAATGAATGATAAAGGAAGAAGACCCGACTGACCGAACGAATGAACAACTCAATGAACGAACGAAAGGTGAAAGGAACAATTTGCATGATAATGTATGATAATGTATGAATGCACATATGGACCCTATAGGTGTATGTTTTGAGGTACGTTTCGTCATAGGTAGTCTACTCATATTCGTGGTCCAGGAAAAAAATGTCCAGTGGCCGTCACGGTGACGACGGTGGTGTCGGTGGCGGTGTCCGTCATGGTGACGACGGTGGTCACGGTGGTGCTGACGGTGACCGTGGCGTTGCCGAGCATCGTGCTGGTGGACTCGGTCTCGGTCATATTGCCACCACCATTGGCAATGCTGAATCCGGCCAGCTTTCCTCGGCAGAAAAGATGTTGGCTTACAATGTGGTGCCATCCTTGGCTTAGTTGGTGAAGATAAGTATCAAAGGTTGGCTTTATGAATCTTTATTGATAGATACTGGCGGTTCTGAAAATGGGGGGATCGTTTCAATACTAATTCATGGTCATCCACATATATAGATATAGATATAGATATAGATATAGATATAATATATATATATATTGTACACATATATATATATATACATACATATATATATAATATATATATATATTGGTGGTACCCCCAAGACTCCTAGACCTGGCTTTCCGGAAAATCCTTCTAGTCGTAAAGCATAGCTCCAAACGATTAAGTTCTTCACCACTGGATAGAAAGATTAAGCAGTTCCAGTTATAAGTGGTCATAACATGTGATAAGTGGTTATAACTATAATCATAAGTGGTTATAACTATAGCTATAAGTCAACAAGAACCCAGTTATATGTGGAAGATCACCTATTAAAAACCAGAACGGCCCCTCATGGGGGAGTGATTTTTGCTCTATTCATGATCAACAATACTGGTATTTACAGTTTTTTGTGACAAAAGTAGGATTAAAACCGTTAGTTTAGAGCAAAAAATAAATCGAGTGCACCTCCAAAGGCTAACAGAAATCACTGTCATCTACAGACTCTTGTGACAGGATTCAATGTTTCCTGTGAGGCTTGCAAAGAACTAACAATCAGCACATAACAGAAAACATCTGCTGCTCAGCATGCCATAAGAATGGGCTAGCTGCGCATCTTGGAACAGAATATACAGTAGCAATAGGTGGCTAGTGTGATAGAAGTGATGGAGAAATTCTATTGCTAGAAGCAATTGATATGATATGGCTGTTTCTTCATGAACTTGTTAGATTGATATAATCTCAACATATATGGAAGCATTTGCGCTACATAAGAAGTATGGTGGGAAGGGCATACATTATGTAGGTGGATATACACAAGCACATCTAACACTCTGGATAAGAAGGATGGTTGGAATGTTACAACGCCCAAATGCCGAAAAGTTGGTGGTCGGTACTAGGTACAAGGTGAGGCCTCCCCCAGTCTTGTTTCTTGATATAGTTTCACCCCATATGGGTGTGTCTGAAAATAGTGTACCCCATTTTCCCAATGGTTTTGCTGATCATTATCCCTATTTTTCATGGCTATTTCATTGGGAAGATTAACCCAACATTTTCAGACAAACCCATATCCCATTACATCACCAGCAGTGCTCACCAACAGTGCCCTAATCCTCAAAGGTGCTGAGCTTCTCCGAACATGGCTTACGCTAGATCTTGCATTGTGTTTGTGCGACCACCGTTTTGACTTACGGGGCTGGCATGTACATAAAATGACTTAAGCTTGTGCGGACAGGTTTGATTTAAAACGCATTGGAACTGCTTACGCCAAAGGCATCAAACAGCTTGAGCTTATGCATGGTATTTTTGTAAAAGTGGCTTAGGCCACCTTACGAAACCCAGAGTTTTGCTTACGCGACCCAGTCATATTGACACAAGCCTTCTTAAAGTGTATTCGAGGGGTTCTCACGATGCTCATATGGTAGAGGATATGTGATAATAGCACCCAATCCCCTCCATGGTGGACGTGTACTTCTAGATTTGAGAAATGAAGTACTTGTCACTGACCTTTTTCTGGCAAAGTTCAGAAGGACTGCATGTCAGCTAACAAAGTTTTCCACCGTATTCTGGTGATCTCTCACCGCAGACAGTGCCTCTTCAATCCGAATCCTTCTTCCACTTTGCCCATCAGACGTTCCTCGTCGGTCAAGCCCTTGGCTTTCTTCGGCGCGGGAGACGACTGAAACGTGCCCTTTTTTAGGACGTCTTCGCGGCTTCCCGAGCATCTCCTTCAGTCCCCAGCGCCTTCGCCGGATGCACATTCTGCACTTCTTCAGCGGCAGGTCCCATGCTTCTCATGGCAAAACCGGAGAACGACCAACCAAGAATGTTTTCCTTTCTGTCTCGAAGGATGTATTTCACATACCCTCTGGATTTCTCTGGTAATTTAAGATAACTACATGGAAAATCACAATTCTTAATAGGAATTTATCATGGAACCAAATGAGTCATGGTCCAGTTCGCAAACGTTCAAGTTACGGTAAAACATGCTGGGTCAAAATCAAGCAAGTCTCGGGAAGCATCGCGCAGCCAATTGCTGGGATTGCTAATGTCCTCCAAGAGCTCTTCCTGCGCGCAGTACTTGGGGGTGCAGTCAGGGTGACTATTGTGGGATATTGTGGGTATAACCATGGGAATAACTTCTAAAAGTTCAGAGAAAAAAAAACTACAACTATAGTAACTATAGTTATACCGTTATACCCAATTAGAACTGAAAGTGCAGCCCAAGTATTTCAGCAGTGTCAAAAATCTCTTGGAAAATCTCTCCAAAAAAGCAGCAGAACCTCCACAGCATTGGATGGACTTGGGGCCCGCATGTTAAAGGGCCCCAGTTCGTTAGCTAAGTTGACGCACACTGAGCACATGGTGAACTGTTGGGTTTATAGGGGATATCATCATAACTATAGTTCGATGTTGTTATGAACATTTAAACCAACTCATATCTAGGGGGCCCCTTCCTACCGGAAATCCAGCACATGTTACGAAGTAGCTCATTGGCTCCCTCAACAGGAAATATGTATATTCCATTATACTCCTACAATGTGGGACCCCCAAACGTTATGTTTGTTGGTTTATAGCCCCATCTAACTATGGTTATAACTACCATCATCCCAAACGTGAAATTCTAGTGAAATTGTAGTTATGTTCACCAACGGTTCACGCTATCGACTGGGGGCCCCACTAATTGTAGGCCTCCGGGTTTACCATTGGGAAAATGTCGCGCGAATCCAAGAACGACGGATTCGCTCTCAGCACCCAAAAATCGGATGTTTCGCTGATTATGTACCCTCTGGTTATGTCAAAATAGCTATTGAAAATGACCATAGAAATAGTGGATTTTCCCATTAAAAATTGTGATTTTCAATAGCTATTTTGACATAACCAGAGGGTAGTACATTTTACCATTGAATCAATGGGAATCAAAAAGGATCCGATTCAGGACGGAGGTACCGATTCCAGAAATATTTTTGGCCTATTTTTTAGGCCTATGTAAGGGAATATCCCCACAAAATATGGCCTTATATGGTACAGTACCTCTATTTTAGGATCCTGGAATTCCCATTGATGTTACCATTGAATTCGCAAAAGATTCAAGTAGTAAAGTATGGAGATGGATCAAGACCTTGTACCTCTGGTGAACATTAAAATAGCTGGTACGGCTGGTACCCTCTGGTAAACATTAAAATAGCTATTGAAAATGGCCCAGTCGAAATAATTGATTTACCCATTCATAGTATGGTGATTTTCCCTCGTTTTTTGTATGTTTACCAGGCCGGGTAAATGGATGTTCATCCCTGTAAAAACGGTATCAAATTTATCCTCTGGTTTTTTAACAGTTCGCCATGGAAAGATCCACCATTTTTTATAGATAGACCATCTATAAAAGGGCCATCTATACCATGGCTATGTTAGTCATAACCAGAAGGTATGTATTGATCCATAGCCATATCTAAGCAGTCCCTTGTTCCCAACAGATATCGCCTTGCTGCCGCTGGTAGACCCCGCATACTGGGCGGTCTCAGTCAGGCCCAACATCACCACACTCACCTCCCAAAGGCGAACGCATGGGATATTTCATGGGGATACCCGTTGGTGAAATAATATATAATGATGAACATCACCCCATTTTTCATAGGTAAATCAACGAACGAAATGAGCGAAAGTGTTAGGATTTTTTACATGATTCAAATCCACCAAGAATGGTGGGTTAATATGGTGATAGAGGCTAGCCGCGAATTTTCTGGGCTAAGCTAATCATGGTTTGCCCCCAATGCCATTTTTACCATCCAAGTAATCCTTTCAGATCATCCCATTGCAGTCTATGGCCTCAATGGCCATGCTGGCCAGGATCCGATTTTGTGGACGGAAAAAACCGATTCCAGAAATATTTTTGGCCAACTTTTTTAGGCCTAAATTTCAGGGAATATTCCCCCAAAATATGGCCAGAAATATGGTACTAACGTACCTCCATTTTAGGATCCTGAAATTCCCATTGATATATTATATATATATAATTTCAGAAACCCCGCTTGGCAATGGTCTGTCATTGGGTTTATCTGGTTTGCTGGGATTCATTGTTAACACTGTGCATCTGGTTTCTCATTGATAGCTGGCTTGTTGTGGTGGTAAATATACCATCTGGTTATGACGAACAGTTCACCATGGAAAGATCCACCATGTTTAAGTTCGGTAAACCATCTATTTCGATGATTAGGGCCATTTATTTTCCATGGCGAACTGTAACAAATAACCAGATGGTATAGTACAGTAATCACCATGTTTCATGGGAAAATCCACTATAATGACTATTTCTATGGTCATTTTCAATAGCAAACTGTTAGTCATAACCAGATGGTATAGTAATCACCATTAATCACCATTTTTGCTAGAAGGATTTTTGCTGGTTAAATCACCAGACGAAAACCAAATCACCAGGCGATGAAAAACCAGCAAAAAAAACAAGGCAAAAATGGTGATTAATGGTGATTAATGGTGATACCCAAAAGAAGACCTAAGTCCAAATCCCCAGGGAAATTGCCGAGGCAGTCCCTTTCTGAACAGGCCAGAAAATCACTCAGGGTCAAAGTCCTTGGGCCAAGTCCCAAAACTGCTACCCAAAACAAATAAATTTCACCCCCCCCAAAAAAAAAAGGCTACAGAATTTGAGTACGCAACTCATTTGGCAGTGTGTCAAAACCTTGTACCCCTGCTAAACATCAAAATAGCTGGTAAATGGATGTTCATTCCCCTAAAAATGGTATTAATAGGTATTGATCCATACCCATTTCAAGGAAATGTTCAGGGGCTGACTTGGCAGATGATGCCAACTTGGCAACTTGGCAACTTGGGTGGATGTGACTGCCACCATCACTAGATTCACTAGATCCAGGCATCACGCGTGAAGATCCCAGGCATGTGACGTGGCTGTTCTGCAGTCTTGGGAACCACGTTCTTAAATGAGAATGCGTTTTCCACATGGCCAATGGTTTTTCTACCCTGAGAGAGTTTAGTACTTGTTTATCTGGTTGGTCTTAGATATATCTCGGACTTGCTTACGGGTACCTTTGTTTTTCGATGTTTTTCGGTTGCCATAGATTCTCAAAATGCTGGATTGACCAATAGGTAAGTACAATATAATCTTGAGATAGCTTGAGCAAATCCAGGATATAGCAAAAGATTAAGTTGTACTAAAGCACCCTTCCAAGGTTTACCCCTTGCATCCGGCAGAATTATTAGCTAATTCATGCTGATTCACTATCTGAAAATTGCTGTGATCATAGAGCCATTTGGGGATGATTCCCCAAATCCAATTCCCATCATTCCAGTGACGTCACAACGTGAGGTCATGATATAATTCCTCCACATATATGGCCATTAATTTCCACAATGTTTTAAGTCATAATCCCATTCACCTTTAATCCATTCTGCCATCCCATTGATGCAAGATTTCCTGCATTTTTTTCAAGCCCATATCCCAATATGAATAATCCATTCATATCCCACAATGTGGGGCCCCCCAGTTATAAGTTGGTTTATAAACCCCATTAACTATAGTTATAAGTACCATAAACCATAGTTATTGGAGTTATAAACCAACTTAGCTATCTTGGGGGCCCCACATTGCAATAATCCACAATAATCCCATATCCTAAGATTGTCCTGCACGATTAAATCCATGATTAAATCCCCCCTATCAGTCAGACTACCATCTGGTTATGACTAACAGTTCGCCATGGAAAGATCCACCCATGTTTAAGTTCGGTAAACTATCTATTTCGATTAGGGCCATCGACAAACCATGGCGAACTGTAACAAATAACCAGATGGTACCCTCTGGTAAACTAACGTAACTATGGAAAATCACCATTTTTAATGGGTAAATCCACTATAAATGGCCATTTTCAATAGCTATGTTAGTTTACCAGAGGGTATGTCTTAGACCACCGTGATGACAGCTCCGAAAACCCAGCTCCACCTCTTCACTCAGCTTGCGGGTGACGCTTCCTCCATGCTCCCAATGGGACCAGGGTTCACCAGGGTAACAATTTTCACCAGGGACGGAAGGATCCTCCAAGTAACAATACAACCGGCAGATATGGAAAATATATGGGAAATATGAGTGGAAAATATATGGGAAATATATGGAAATATCAACTAGCATGGATATCTATGGTACAAGGATGCGCAACACTTACGCTTTTTTGTCACGCCTGGCTCTTTTTCAAAACCTGGTGGAAAACACCATCTAAACGCAGTTCATGCCTTTCCTCTCCATGACTAAGACACAATTTGCCAACAAGATTTTGGATGAATAGCTGGTTGGTGGTATACCTACCCCTCTGAAAAATATGAGTTCGTCAGTTGGGATGATGACGTTCCCAATATATGGAAAAATAATCCAAATGTTCCAAACCATCAACCAGATAGTCAAGCAAGTTTACCTGGGTACATCAAACGGGTCTGGGGCGGAATTTTAATCCCCACACACGCGAAGGTTGGTAATTGTAGCGTCAGGTCCTCCAATGTTTGAGGGGTACCAAATGTGTTTGGAACGAATTCATCGAATTTTGGGTGGAGTTGTTTGTTCCAGGGATTGTTAAACGCATTCGTATTGTTGTAATAAGCAGATTAAGCCCATTCATCATCAAGCCAAATTCTGTAGAAGAATCTATTGGAATGGTTCAGTAAAGCAGATTAGTTGGCTTAGGATTGTTACCCTCTGGTAAACTAACATAGCTATTGAAAATGGCCATTTATAGTGGATTTTCCCATTAAAAATGGTGATTTTCCATAGCTATGTTAAACTACCAGAGGGTAAACGCATTCATCATCAACCATTTCCTGAGCCAAATTCTGATTCTTCGCCATCCTACCAGCCCAAAAGCATCCAAAAGCAACATACTGCCAGATAGGGCCCCTTGGACGGTCCAAAAAAAAATCACAATGACGGTGAAGTAACCTTTGTTGAAGCTTCAAACACCAGTGTTGGATGGTGAAAAATCCCCAAGTCTTCCAAGGTGTTCCTGATGTTTTCCAGGAAAAAAATGTTTTTTCTTCCCCTCCACCTGATGTTTTCCAGTGAAATCCATAGCATCCACTGCGCACCGCACCTTGCTTGGCTTCCAAGTTGATGCTGCACAGCGGCGTAGGTGCCTCTTGGCTTCCTGTGAAGACGGTCAGGGCGGTAGGAGCCACGAAAGACCTGGGAAGATCGGCGAAAAAAAAGGGGGTGTAGCATTGGAATATAAACATCCAAAAAATGGAATACAAGTTGGTTTATAAGAATGGTATAACCTATAACCATGAAATTATATGAAACTATATTGTACCGTTACAGATAAACCAACTCATTCATCTCACAGAATGGTGCCCCCCCCCGGTTATGTCTGTTGGTTTATAACTGAATCTAAATATAACTATTTGCGTATCATCCACCAACTTGTTATAACAATCCCCCTTCGAATTTCAGGGGAGACGTTGTGACCACAATTCTGTAGCTTACAAACATTATTCAAAGGCCTAGGGCTATAGAAAAATCGGTTGCTAAGCTCCAGTGTTTCCGAAAGTTGCCTGAGCTACAAAATGCCCATTCATTTCAACAACCTTGACATAGCTACAAAATGCCCTTCGTTTTCAACAACTGCACATAGAAGGACATACACCTTGGCTAAGAAATGCCCATGTCGTCTTCAACAATTGCACGTGCAAAGGAACACCTTTGCTACAATATGCCAAGCTAGTTTCAACAAAAATTGCATCCATGTCATGCTACAAAATGCCACTGCGTTTTTATGATGTCCTAACATGATTAAAGAAGTTTAAGCTTAAAAAATTGGACATGGATTCTATGCATCCGTTAGCCTGACTAAAACGGAGGGCTTTGAAGGAGGCACAAGGCCTCCCATCTTGTAGTTTAAACTTGAAGGGTGATGTACAACATAGTTATAAAATGTTATAAAATGTTATAAACCAACTTAGCTAACTATGAGGCCCCATCCTGTGCCCTCCGGGAATTTCATGTAGCGAACTGGAAAACCACGTGTCTTTAATAGGTAAATCATCGCTAAATCATCTATAAATGGGCCATTTTACATTGCTATGCTAAATAACCAGAGGGTAATTTTGATCATTACAGGATGATCATTGGACGGACCATTGATTATGTTGATGACTGTGACTTTTAGAGATGATTTTAGGACGACCATCGGAAGATAAATTCGGAGTGGTTTTTGGGTTATAACTTATGTTATAAGTTGATAATTGAACAAGTTATTTAACAAGTCTGGATCAGGTTTCTGGGGGTTACTGAATGATAGGGCTAAATGGTACCTGACAATGGAAAATTTCCCAAATCCGCTGGTTCATCATGTTCCCAAGATTGAAATTGGGTGCCCTTAAAAAAGAGCCATATCTTGATCATTAGATATCCAAAAGACATCAAAGCGGATGAGTTTCTACATGTTTCTAGCCATCCAGCCGATTGACCTAGACCTAGTTATAACTTCATGATTGAATCTGGGTAAATTATAATGTTTCACTAATCTGAATAGTTCGGCCATAATTTCGGGCATGATTTCCCTAAAATAAACCATGATTTCCAGGCTTCCAAAAGAGCAGGCTTCCCGGTCGTGATCAAATTTACCTAGATATATCATATATTATCCATAGATTCACCATTACTAACCATTATTCACCATTATTAACCATTATTAACCATTATTAACCATTATTAACCATTATTAACCATTATTATCCATAGATTCACCATAGATTCACCATAATTTACCAACATATCTGGTTGCTTTATCAAGCCTCTCAGGTGTCCGAGTGGTTTCAACCAGAAGTCACCCGAATTTCAGCGCCAATCCCATTGGAGTGTTGCGGGGGTCGCATTTCATTGGGCAGTGCCAATGACTCGGGGTCAACATGTTTTTCGTCTTCAAAAAAAAACAGTCGGACTTTCTCAGATGTCCTCTAACTTACTTTACGTTTGCTGATGGGACTTACCCTTTGGTAAACATACAAAAAACTATGGAAAATCACCATTTTATAGCTGGGAAAATCCACTATTTCTATGGCCATTTTCAATAGCTATTTTGACATAACCAGAGGGTATGCAAATGTGTTTTGCAACTTCAGAGATTTTCGGGTTTAACCGGTGGACAAAACACATCCACATTTCAGGTATATTTCGAATCCACTTTCTGTCGCAAATAAACATGCCTAGTGACGGCGTCACTACCCTCTGGTAAACTAACATAGCTATTGAAAATTGCCATTTATAGTGAGTTTTCCCATCAAAAATGGTGATTTTCTATAGTTGCGTTAGTTTACCAGAGGGTAACCAGGCACAAACGCTTCCCCAACCGCGATTGTCAATAGTTACGACAACCATTTGAGGTGTTTGACGGCAACAAGTTGGCAAAACCCTGTTATTGATGCTGCCAAATCACCGTTCCCCAGTTGATTTATCCAATCACCACGAATTTGGTGGCTTTAGATTGCACATGATACCAATTCCCACAAAAATTCCCAATGTTTTGTGATTCTAAAGCATCATGAACACGGTTGCAACATCCTTTGCCCAACACCCTTTGGTATCCTTTGGTGAAGTCCCTATTCTTCCGGTAACCCAACATTTCTGGGTTGGTTTCAATGTATGTGACATACATTGACCATTGACCTCAATTCTTCCTCCTGAAATCCAATTGTGTCGAATAGTCAAACAACCCGAAATTTCATCCCAGTTGGTTCTGGTTACCCTCTGTTTATGTCAAAATAGCTATGGAAAATCACAATTTTATATGGGAAAATCCACTATAAATGGGCAATTTTCAATAGCTATGTTAAATTACCAGAGGGTAACTCTCCCGGCTAGATCAGATCATCAGATGAGCTACGTCAGGTGCGATGTTTGTTGGTGATATCCCCCAGAAACCCCAAGAGTTTACCAAGGTTCACCAAGTGCGTCAACTTAGCTATCAAGAATAACTGGTTGGTAGTATACCTGCCCCTCTGAAAAATATGAGTTCATCAGTTGGGATGATGACATTCCCAACTGAATGGAAAAATAAATTTCATGTTCCAAACCACCAACCCGATAACCTCACCTTTTATATGTGTAGTTTCAGGCGAAACTGTCATGATCTGCCATCGATCGTGATCTCATAATCCTCAATGAGTAGTCAATTAGTGTACCCTCTAGTAAACATACAAAAAACGATGGAAAATCACCATGCTATTAATGGGTAAATCAACTATTTCAATGGCCATGGCTTCAAGTTCGCAATGTGAAAAATTAGTCAATTAGTGTAACCCATTTCCCATTAACTAGTTCGTTATATCCACCATAAACCATAGAATTCAGCCACTTATAGATAATACAACATCGCCAATTATATGTATATTAACTATAAATTGAATTAATTAACTATTTATACTTATAAATGGAACTTATAGGGTATACCCAACCATTTATAGTGGATTTACCCCTTGAATCAACATCGCCAAGTCGCGCCGAATCGGCCTCGAAATCTGCCTTCTTCAAGACCTGGCCGTCCAATTCCCATCTTTCCAGGTCGAAAAAAGTGAGGTCGTGATCAAATGTACCCATATATCATCATGTATCTACATATCTATATATATATCTATCTATATCTATATCTATATCTATATCTATCTATATCTATCTATCTATATCTATATCTATCTATATCTATCTATGTCTATCTATATCTATCTATATCTATCTATATCTTTCTATATTTATCTATATCTTTCTATATTTATCTATATCTATCTATATCTATCTATATCTATCTATATCTATCTATATCCATCTATATCTATCTATATGATGTAAATAATATAATGTAAAATTGATCATGTAATGTAATATTATATATATACACATGGTGGGCCAGATCTGCTGACTCCTTCGGCGATCCTGCATTTCTAGATTCTTCGGATCTAAGTTGGGGTTCACTTTAGGGTGTTTATGGTAGATATATGTAGGTTTCCATAACATAAATGGGATATACCCAAAAATTATGGGTTATAATGGAAAACCTATTAAAATGGATGATTTGGAGGTACCTCCATTTCAGGAAACCTCCATATATATATATATATGTGGGGGTAAAACAATGTCATAAACCATCCATTTCGGAATGGTTTATACCACCTATAAAAATGGTGATGACTGGGGGATGGTAAACATGGCATTGTTTTACCCACATTACCACATTAATGGGGATTATAAAGCGTTTTACAAGTGAAAGGGCACCATCCTGTATGATGTATCCTCTTCAACAAATCTAGATCCATCGTGAACGGTAGATATCTCGAGCGGATGCAATTAAAGGATATTAAATGGATGTAAGAATGAATGTAAAATGAGGTGAAACTAAAGTTTCACGCATAATAAATCCAATTAACACCCTATGAAATCCCCTTCAACCCCATTGATTTCCATCAAATCCACCACCAGCCGAGGTGCTGTTCCCCTCTTGGCTTCGCTGACGTGTTTCTTGGCCACAACCGACTTGCTGACCTAGCGGAAGTCGAACAGTTCCGTTGAATCTGTACACTTCTGCAAATTAACGATCATAGTTAGAATGGATGATCTAACTATGGCTATTAAGACCTTATTAAATTCGAACAGTTAGTCGGGTATCGAATTTAATAAGGTCTTAATAGCCATAGTTAGATCATCCATTTATAGATGGGATAACCCACGCAATGGGGACTTACTCATGATTAGAAAAGGAGGTGTCCGTGTTGTCATGGGGCTACCCCAGTCATTATCCATGTCATGGACGGCCATGACTTAGTATTGAAACCTATGGCTCTGGTGATCCCAAGCCAAGGAATAATATACAATTACATATATATATACCCTCCAGTGAATTAACATAGACCCCGGCAGATAAGGGTTGGAAGATAAGTTTCCATTAAGCATAGGTGATTTCACGGTCTATATATATTTACCAGAGGGTATACATACGTATATAAATTATAAAAAAGTATAGAATATGTATAGAGGAGTAGTAGTAGGAGTAGTAGTAGTAGTAGCAGTAGCAGTAGCAGTAGCAGTAGCAGCAGCAGCAGTAGTAGTAGTAGTAGTCGTCGTCGTAGTAGTAGTAGTAGTCGTCGTCGTCGTAGTAGTAGTAGTACAGTAGTACAGTAGTACAGTAGTAGTAGTAGTAGCAGCAGCAGCAGCAGTAATAGGGGTAGTGGGAATAGGAGTAGGAGTTGGAGCAGTAGTAGTAGTAGTCGTAGTCGTAGTAGTCGTCGTAGTCGTAGTAGTCGTAGTAGTCGTAGTCGTCGTAGTCGTCGTAGTCGTAGTAGTCGTAGTAGTCGTCGTCGTAGTAGTAGTAGCAGTAGTAGCAGTAGTAGTACTAGGAGTACTAGTAGTACTAGTACTAGTAGTACTAGTAGTACTAGTAGTACTAGTAGTACTAGTAGTACTAGTAGTACTAGTAGTACTAGTTATACTACTAATACTAGTAGTAGTAGTAGTAGTGGTGGTGGTGGTGGTGGTGGTGGTAGTAGTAGTAGTAGTAGTATGTGCTTGACTGTGTGGAGATATGACTCAATCTGAGAAAGAAGTCCTCTTAGGTCCTGTTAAGCTGACTGTTCAGATCAATCTAGACTATCACTATGTAGACTATGCGGACTATGCATATCACTGATATCATTGAAATTGCGTATCATTTTCTGAAGTACCCAGGTGGGGTGGCGGGTATCCCACTATCCAATGGATAAGTAGCTGCATTTGGGTGTTTGTTTGCCCATTTTCAGACACAGCCAGCCATATTGCATCTCAAAATATCCCCAATGTTTTTTTCATGTGGTTTTTCGCCAATGCCAAATCAGAAGCATCATGTCTGGGGAACAAGCCATGTTTACTGGGAAATCCACATGTTTTTGGGTTAGCATCCACCATCCTCAGGTCATTCCCCAGTCTGGTTCCATAAACCATCCCCAGTCATGGGACTTATGGCAGGGTTAACCGTTACCAGAGCTTAGGCAATCATCCACAACCGAAATATTAGCGGCTGCTCTCAGGCGTGAAATTGAAGGGTGATGGTAATTAATTAATATGATTACTAATTCAGTTAGATTATACAAATATGATCAGTAGATTTCCGAATTAGTGGAGTAAAGACCGCGACAATTCATGAAAATTCACATGACCTTCAACGAACGCAGATGTATTATATATATATTATATTATATATATATACATATTATATTATATATATACATATTATATTATATATATATGTGTATGTGTATCTGACTAAATGGTTAGATAACTCACTAGCCCGAAAATAGCCAGATGAAATCCTGGATTCCCGTTCCAATGGCGTCACCTCATGAGGTCATGATCAAATTCATCCAGAGATAAGGATTCACAATACCAATATAAAATAAGGCCATAATAAGGATACTTTTTTCGGGTCCATAAGAATTCTATGAGTCTAGTGGCTTAAAGCGACGTGAGGTCGGTATAATTCATCTAGGTACACATATAGATATATATATATATTATATATATTCAGTATAATATATAATAACAATTGTAATATGTTCAGTATAATATATAATAATATAATAATATATGTATATTATTATTGTTATTAATATTAATATTATTGTTATTATTATTAGTATTATTATTATATGTATAGTATAATATGAAATAACATATATAAATATAGTAATAATATATATAATATAATATAATATAATATAATATAAGATAAGATAAGATAATATAAGATAAGACATACACAAACACATGTAGTACACATCACCTTGACTTTCGATCAGCTCCGGCACCTTGAAATGATCATTGGTGGGGTACTCCTCCGTCAAAGAGAGCACCTCGCCATCCGTATCCTCCATCAAGACCAGGGCAAAATCGTCCTCACACGTCGTGGTGAACTGAACCATGGATTTTTAAAGGATAACTGGTTGGTGGTTATTAACATACTGTTAATGGTGGTTAAACATACTGTTAATGGTGGTTAATATATGGTTACTATATGGTTAATGATGGTTAATGATGGTTAATGGTTGATGGTGGTTAATGGTTGATATATTTATATATATATATACTGTTAATGCTGGTTAATGATGATGGTTATTATATGGTTAATGATGGTTAATAACATACTCTGGTTGGTGGTTGACCTACCCCTCTGAAAAACATAAAAGTCCATTGGGCTGATTTTTCCCAATATGTGGAAAAAAAATGTTCCAAATTACTTTACTTCGAGTTATCCCCACCATGACATTTATACATTTTGTTACTGGCAAATCTTCTGGCATTCTATCTGACATACCTTCTGGCATTTTATCTGGCATATCTTCTGGCATCCTATCTGGCATATCTTCTGGCATTCTATCTGGCATATCTTCTGCAATCTGTTCTGGCACATCTTCTGGCACTCTATCTGCAATATCTTCTGGCATATCTTCTGACATTCTATCTGGCATTCTATCTGGCAAATCTTCTGGCATTCTATCTGGCAAACATTCTGGCACTTTATCTGGCATACCTACTGGCATTCTATCTGACATTCTATCTGGCATACCTTCTGGCATATCTTCTGGCAGTTTATCTGGCATATCTTCTGGCATTCTATCTGGCATATCTTCTGGCATATCTTCTGGCATTCTATCTGGCATTCTATCTGGCATATCTCTCATGGCATTCTATCTGACATTCTATCTGGCATATCTTCTGGCATTCTATCTGGCCGTTGAGGTCCAGCGGTGCACACTGAGCTGGGCAGCTCGCAGGTTGAGGTCCAGCGGTGCACACTGAGCTGGGCAGCTCGCAGGTTGAGGTCCAGCGGTGCACACTGAGCTGGGCAGCTCGCAGGTTGACGTCCAGCAGTGCGCACTGAGCTGGGAAGTTGGCGAAGAGCTTGGCGACGAGTTGGCAAGGTTGGCAAGGCGGAAGTGGAGGTGGAAGAGGCGGAGGCGAGGAGGAGGGCGAGGAGGACAGCTAGTCGAGGAGGAGGAGGAGAAGGAGGAGGCGGAGGAGGAGGAGGAGTGGCGGGCATGCGCTCTGATAAAATCTAACAACCCTCACCTGGCAGGTGGGGAACCACCAACCAGATAAAAACTGGAACTATTGATAAGCAGTTAGATAAACCAGTATCACATGATATGATATCTTATCACATATATATATATATATATATTTATTTATATATGTGTAATACCATTTTTTCACATCGTATTACATCACAGAATCGGACTAAATCAAATTAACAACAGTTGCTTAGAGTAAGAATTGCTTAAACGATAATAAGTGTATATAAGATGAAACTATGACATTGCTAATCAAACATGGGAATATAGTCTAACAAGACTTATAGATGATTATAGTGTATTTAACACGGATTACTGTACGACAAGCTAACGTTCGGCTTCTGATACTCATTCTTATACCATCTTAAACCAATATAGTATAACAATTGTATAATGTTGATGTTATTAGAAAAACATGTTGTCTACCTTTTTTATGCATCTAAATCTTGTTTCTTCTAAATCTTTGTCTTATTTAGTATTCATTCTTTTCCTTTTTTCTCTAATGCGTCTTGCCTCTATGTTTCCATTTATCCCTATTATTTAAAATTGTCATTCTAAATTTATTGTAATAACTGTATAATATATATATGTATATAATAATATAAAAATAAAAGCAAATAACATATAAATTACTACATTACATCGTAAAAAGTAAAAATACATGTAATATATATATATAAAGTTTTGTAGCTATTTTGTTACATGTTACTCTCTATGTTGTGACAAAATTGAGAGGTAACAATGATAGTAAAATCCTTACAGTATATAAATAACATAATCTGATAACATAAAGCTCTAATGAGAAATTATAACATAACAATAAATTCATAATAGTGATATCTGATAGTCATAACATGGACAGTCTGAATTATATCTGGCTGACTTCTAAAAATTCACCAATTTGAAATAAGGTCATGTAGAGACAATTCGATATGTAACCACCATAAAGATATCAATATACTATCTGTTCATCTATGTGTAGGTGTCATCCCCTAATTAGCTAAGCTGGCTTTTAAGTACACAGGTTAACGATGGGAATTATGGTAGATACATCATACGTCTAGGCAGCCATATAGCTGGCATTTTGCTGGCCAACTTGTTTTCTGGGGGGCACCACCTTGCGGCAACCTCCAAACAGATTCAGAAAGGTTCAATTTACCAATATGCTAGTATGACTTTGCAACCGCGTCACCGAAGGGAGTGTACCAAAAAAAAACATAGACCATGCCAAAAATCGGGGTTGGAAGACAACCCTCCTCTAAAAATTGCTGATTCTCGGGGCCTTTTTTGCGTGTGGGGGGATGGTACTAACATCAATACTATGCCATATTTACATAGATTCACTGGTACAGTCCGCGATGCAATCATACTGTAATGATAATTGCAATAATAACCAAATATCATTTCCAATATCATTATACCAGGTAATACGTGCCATTTCAAGAAAAAATATACGAATGTAGCCTGGTAGAGTCTGGTCGTAATGCCCTGACCAAGAACCAGCTCTTCCCGCAACATAGACCCTGCCATTCTTGGGGGTTGGAAGATTCGTGAAACCACTGAAGATGTGTGTGATTTTCAGGGTCGAACTGTTAATTTACCGGAGGCTGGTTGTTTTCTCAAGAGAGGTTTACCTGAACTTACTATATCCATTTTTTATGAAAGAGATTGTGATTCTTCTCCTGCCAATTCGCGAATTCGAACGCAAATTTCCATGAGACGTTTGTAAAGAACCTGCGATTTCCAGCGAATTTGGATCATCAAATCATCCTTCATGGACCTAAGGGATAGTGTAACTCCCGCAACTCTTGGGCCATTTCTGAAATCACGGGGGATACACCGGCCGTCACCATCGGTCACAATCCCAGGAACCATGGCATCCCAGGAACCATGACTGGGGATCACCACTTACATTCAGGGCTTTACCCACTTTCATCAATCTCAAACTGGGGGAAGCCATGAATGTAAGTGGTGATTTCTATCCATAAATTCAATGAGGTAAACCATATTGACCAATATTACTTACCATAACGTTTTGGGGTCGGAGTCCCATGTATGTAGATTAAACTCCCACTCATGTGGTAAAGCCATGTAAAGCCAATGATACTGTAACTCTCAATAATAATCTCAATCCCATTGCTAGGGCTTTACCCACTTTCATCAATCTCATGATTATTTGGGTAAAGCCCAGGGTATTATTGGCCATCAAACAATCTCAAACAATCTCAAACTGGGGGATTGTTTGAGTTTATTATTGGCTTTACATGGCCTTACCACATGAACAAACATAGGCTGAAAACATCAGGGGGTCGCTGCCATTTCTCAGTAACGGTGACCTGACTGAATTGGGGATATTCCATATATCACTGGGGCTGTAAGCAATTTACTAAGCAAGTACAAGTGTTTAGCATCACCCCGTTTAAACACCGACATAATCATGAAATGTTCCTCAGTAAAAGCCACAAATCGAGGATAAAGCCCATTTTCGGATACTCAACCATCATATTCTATCTCATTGATATCCCTATGTCGTATAATACTTAAATCACCAATTGAATAGCCTGATCCCACTCTATCAAACTACTTGCTGCAACCGCCCAGTTCCGTTGCTTAAATCCTCACTTCATCTTCATCCTATCCCGAAACCCATCAAAACCCAATGATACTCCCATGAAATCCCATAAAATCCAAGTAAATGCCATAACTGGTTGGTGGTATACCTACCCCTCTGAAAAATATGAGTTCGTCAGTTGGGATGATAACATTCCCAATATATGGAAAGTCATAAAAGTCATGTTCCAAACCACCAACCAGCCATAAAATCATATATAAAATCTGATGAGACATGATGGGAATCCCATGGGAAATCCTCATTTCTTAACGGTTTTTCCCATCAATGTCCCTTGTCAAATGTCCTGGTCGCCGTAGATACCAACAAACGCGCAGTCTCCTGGGAATTCAATGGATTGGTTGAAGGGAAAATCTTAACCGGAAATCCCAAAGATGTTTCCATTAAATATGGGGCTGAAATCTGTGATTTTAGGAAACTATTCATGGTTAATATGGGATCCATTGTTGTTATGGTGATGGTATAGTTCCCATTGCGATAGTTCCCATGGTTAATTACTATGCTACTGGTGCTGAACGTAGGGAATGGACTATTATTCATAGTTACTATGGCATTATGGGAAGTAAGTAATGAGTAATACTTACTATGGTTTGTTAAATAGTTACTATTATGTGATTATTAATCCCATTGTCCAACGGATGGGAATAGAGGAATGGGATTACTGTATTATTAACAGTTACTAAGTTACTATGGATCATTCCCTCATTCCGTACCTTTGGCACCAGTAAGAATACGTGATATGCGATATATGTGATAAAGAACCATCTATGTGAGATATACAAATTGTTATGAGGGCAAGAATTTGATGAACCGATATAAGATATATGTGATAATATGCAATGGATATCATTGTATATATATATATATCAATGTTTCTATCAGAACAACTATACATATGTAATAGAAACAAACAATATGCGCATATTAACCAATGTATAATGTGCATAATGTATATATATATATATAGCCAAGCTATGAGGGGAACTAATATAAAGCAACTGGCCTATCTAACCTGAAATTGACATTGAAAATTGATAGTGAAAACTGATGTTGAAATTGACATATTAAATTTTGATGAAAACATATCATATATATATATATATATATGATTTATATAAACTAACATGTGATATGTATATATATATATCATATCTATGACACTAATATATACTATATAATCATATATAATATAAAGAACAAAGTAATATTGCTGAAGTACAATAATTAACCAGCCTGAAACTAGCCGAAATAAGACCATTTGGGGATGATTGACAAATATGTTAATATATATATATATATGCACAACTAGTAATTATATGATGTGTATATATATATATAATATAACTACTAATATGAAATACGTGTGTGTATATATATATATATATACACACAGCTCATGATAACTTCAAAGATGGAATTGGGGTGTCCCTTGAAATCTTCAAAGCCACAATTGCTGGCGTTTTTGTTGAAGCCGGAAGCCACTTGAAAAACGTCTCACAAAACACGTCTCGACAGATCCAATGTAGATCTTTACCCTCTGGAAAAATATGCCACGAGTTGGAAACCCTGCAAAATTGAATGAAAATAGGTGGACATTTCATCATGGTAAACTGTTACATAACTATGGAGAATCATCTATAGGTAGGTAAATCAACGATTTCGGCCATGTTCAAGTTCGCAAACTGTGACAGTTTACCAGAGGGTATCAACATCATTATACCATCATGAATCACCCATTATCACCCATTATCACCCATTATCACCATTATCATGACACCATTATCCTACCATTATCCCATTAATCACCATTTATTGATGATCAATTTCCCACTATAGTCCCATTAAAATCCTATGAAATCCCAATAAATCACCATTATCCCACAATTAATGAACATTCATCACCAGTGTTTCATCCATTGAAGTGAGTTATTTTCACATGGCACAGAGCTCAAAAACTTCTGGGGACCGCATTCTGGTGACAAATTCTGGATATGCTGGTGATTTTGGACGCATCTCCCGACTCGAAGTCTGGAAAATCCCCCGACACTCATCTCATGGTCAAGTTATTGGCTATGGTTCGTTGCTTAAATCCTCACTGAACATCTGAACAACCCATCATTTAACCCTGGCCAGATACTCCCATGAAATCCCATAAAATCCCAATGTAAATGCCATGTCTGGTTGGTGGTTTGAACCTGCCCCTCTGAAAAATATGATGGACTTCGTCAGTTGGGATGATTATTCCATTCCCAATTAATATGGAAAGTCATAAAAGTCCATGGTTCCAAACCACCAACCAGATGATATTCCCATTAAAATCCTATAAAAACCAGCAACCATAACTATCCATGCTGGATTTTCCATGTTATTTATATGTTATCCAAGAATATCAACCATGACATCTTCAACCTCAAACCTTCGAACCGATTTCGAACAAATGTGCCCGATCTCCCAAGGATTCTTGATCTTATGCCCCCAATTTTGTGAAATCCAAATTGAACTCTATATTCCCAAGAAATACCCTCTGGTAAACGTTTACATAACTATGGAAAATCACCATTGTTTATAGGTAAATCCACTATAAATAACCATTTTCAATAGCTATGTTTGTTTACCAGAGGGTATTCCCAGTGTTTTCTTGAATTCCCATCATTTCGCAAATGTCCACGGATGGTACAACCCTTTTGTCGTTGTCATCCCCAGCCTGGTGCGAGGGACGCTACTAGGCCCAACTGCGAAAGGATCAACAGCGATTTCCACGCCATGGTCGTTCGGAAGTTGTCGAGACTCGAAACACGGCGCCTAAGATTGGCAAGTTTGATCCTTGAAAAACGGCACTGGTTCCCCACAATTTTCGTTGCGATTTTCAGCGGGAAAATTTGTTGAGAGCCAGCTGAGCTAAGAATTTGTGTGTTTTTTTAAGGTCCGAAGGGTAGGATTCTTGAAGTGAACCAGTCACCATGGAGCATCCTGACTTACCATTTTCATGGGATTCCAAGCATTCCCCAAATGGATCCAAATGGGAGTTCTTTATGGGATTGGCTTACCATATTAGTACCACTCCATGCATTTTGGGGCTAAGACCTGTGCTGCACTTTGCACCCCCTTCCTTTTTTTCGGCTGCGTTCGAGCAAGTGCAACTGAAGGGTGTGAACAGCTCACGGAAAGAAACATCATTCTCACCGCGACATCCACGCGTGGTGCACAAAACGTGGTGAATTAAAAGCAGTGTGAGACGGGTCGAACATGATTTGGCAGGCTCATGATGGGCCCCTACGACTTAGGCCCCATGCCATTCTGAACCCTGAGTAAACTCGAAGTTCTGAAGAGAAGAGTTCAAAAATCTTCAAAACCCACTCTAATTCCATGAAATACTGGGGATTTTTTTCCCAGATTGCGATGATCTCCAAGATATTTGCTGGAATTATATAGTATGACCCTGACGAATCAAAAAAACATGGGTGTCTTGCAGCTCACATATCTGTAGATATCTTTTCCTTATAAGAGCCCATCACTACAGGAACCCGAGGGTTCGCAACTTCAGGGACCTTCGGAACATCGCCTATTTCTTTAAATGTCTTTCTTGGTTTTACTTGGTCGCATCATGCAGAGAAAAATCGCAGCCAAGTATCAGTTCCATCCAAATTAACGATCACATGTTTTTTAAATTTACATTCCAAAGTTGGTGGTGTCAAAAACGTTTCAAACAGTCAAACAGGTTTTAGTATAATCAGAAATCGATCGGAATCCAAGGGCTGTCTATACAATCGCCAAAACATGGGCGCCGCGTTTAGTTAAGGTCAAATGAATCCAAAGTTGGAATTTCAACATATTCCATCACTGTTGACCTTTTGTTGTTTCAAATCGTTTCAAACCATCCGAAGAAATCCGTTTGGTTCCGAGATTGATCCCTCTCCGTTGCTTGGGGTTCCAGGAAATCGACGCCTGACTTGCCTGCGGAGGCGGTTGGCCAGAAATCAGTGGGTATCTGAAGATCGCCTTAACGATCCAAAATGGGGGTTATAAGATATGATAACATATACCCCCTGGTAAACTAACATAGCTATGGAAAATCACAATTTGGAATAGGATAGGTAAATCAACTGTTAATGAGCCATTTTCAATAGCAAACTGTTAAATTACTAGAGGGTAAGAAGATATTATAAGTGCAGCTAGCTTCAACCAATCACTCGGATTGGCAACCATAGAGTAATTTTAACCATCGATGTACCGAATTTCAAATGGTGATTTTCCACGGCTGTGTGAATTACGAATTAGGCTATCCCTCCCTATATGAATATCGACAATATCGACATATGATATGTATGTGTTTATATACCCATAGGATCCATGGTGCTGCTATATATGGTAACATGGATCCCATCAATATACCCTCTTTATGTTTGTATATATATATACCAGCACCATGGATCCGTTAAGGGGGATATATAGTAAAGTAAATGGGTGAACACACCATGGAGGTCCGGAAACATGATATACGATGATATATATATATATATATGTATATATATGTATCTAATTATATATATACTGGTTGGTGGTTTTAACCATCTTGAAAAATATGAGTTCGTCGATGGAAAATATTATCCCATATATTACGGAAAATAAAAAATGTTTGAAACCACCAACCAGTATATAACAAAAAGTACTGTCACTCGATGCCATTTCCACAGAAACAACTTACATAGGAAAAAAAACACACCATGTCCCAGCATCTTATCATTCATGGACACATGATAACACTTACAAACAATAAATCTCGGGAGAGTTACCCCATGTTATTTCCCATCTGCCAGTGGCGACCTTTGCGTCGTGAGGTTCTTCAGAGGTTCTTGCAATTCATCCACCATATCATCCAGATCTATCCAGATCTACTACTTGGATGTGGTAGGTAAGTGGTTGATAACCATACGACCATACCCAGTTGTATGCAGGGTCTACCCTAGTTCTATGTGGCTTATAACCCATTTTTTGCATATATTCGCCCACATGTCCATTTTTTGGGGCATGCGCCCATCCAAGTAACATCAAGTAATGTGCTTACCATCTAGTTATTTAACAGTTTGCCATGGAAAATCCACCCCATTTTTAATAGGTAAACCATCTATAAATGGGCCGGGCCATTGTCCATGGCTATGTTAAATAACCAGAGGGTATATAAAACAATCATGAACCATTCCCAAAATCACTTTTTTATGGGCGGTAAATCAACTATAAGTAACCCTGATATCCCACTTTTGGAACCGAAGAAACCGAAGAAAATCTCCCACCCTGCCTGGCCCTTCCAAGGTCGCCAGGCGAACTTACCGACCTGAAGCTCAAATCATCTATTCATGATGGGTCAGTCCATGATTTAACCACTATCAACCACTATGACACTATGAAATGTTGTCAACCATAGTTTATCAACCATTAACCATTATCAACAATGTTGACTCACGTTTAGTCATTATCAACCATTTGCCATCATTAACCAAAATTAACCATAAAAAAACATCATTAACCACATTATTAACTTTGATATTCCCATTAAAACCCTATTAAAACCAGTAACCATAACTATCCATGCTGGATTGGAACCAGGCTGACGAGCCTGGAAAGAATTGGAAGTCATGATCCCAAAGTTATATCCCCAAAAATCCTAGGGTTTTCATGGGAATGAGATAGGAAACCATGAGTTTTATAGTCATTTGGGGATGTCTTCAAATGGGAAACATCCCCAAGTCACCATGGGTTTCAATACCAAAATGGTCTAGTTTGAAGGATTTGGGCATATTTTGGGTTACCCCCATTTTAGGAAACCTCCTAAAATACCGAACTTGAAAAATGCATAAAAGTTTTCATACCAAACTCTTCAATTACCAGAGGGAAGAGTTTGGAGATCTACTGGATACCCATGAAAAGATCATAACATGACCCCAACTGCACCCACAGATCCCAAGTTCATCCGTCAATATTTTTCTCGTCCATCAAAAATTATAAATCTTTTGCTGGTTGGCCGGTTGTTTTAACCATCTTTACATTGCCAATCTTAGATACCCTACAAAAATGACAAATTCTTAGCTGCTGAACATAGATAATCTCATTGATACCAAAAGACTAAAAGGATGAGTTTGTACCCATCCAGTCGGTTAACCATATGGCAGTGTGTCAAAACCTTGTACCCCTGTAGTTCACATCAAAATAGCTGGGATTTATGGATGTTCATCCCCCTAAAAATGCTATTTTCATAGGTATTGATCCATAGCCATATCAGCAAAAAACGATCCACTTCGGAGTAGAAACTCTACTACCATCCAGTCGGTTTTTCCCGCTTCCCCTTCAGCGGTTAGTCGCGCTGGAACTCGCTGGAACTCCTCGCTCTCTAAGCGAAGGCTCGTCCCAGCAAGGCGAACAGCAATCCTCTGTCGCAACGCGACACTGGAGGCGATGTGGGCGGTTTCAACCATGACTAAAATGGTGGGTTCCACAAGGTGGTGCCCCTCAGTTATAAGTTGCTTTATAATCCCATTAACTATAGATATATCTACCATAAGTCCTAGTTATTAGAGTTATAAACCAACTTAGCTATCTTGGGGGCACCACATTGCATGAAGAAGGGGCTACCCCAGTCGTCACCATATAGCTTTGAAGACTCAAATGGCAATCCATGACTTGGATGGTACCATGGGGTACCCCTATGACTCAGGAAACCCCCAGATCATGGAAAAAACATATCTCTTGAGGGATTATTTTATCTGGTTGGTGGTATACCTACCCCTCTGAAAAGTATGAGTTCGTCAATGGAAAGGATGACATCCCATATATGAAATGGACAATAAAAAAAAAATGAAACCACCAACCAGTTATGGTTTTGAATCGAATTTTCATGGGATTGTAATGGAATTATCATGGGATTCAAAACGCGGATCTACAGTGAAAAGAACTGGTTACGATGTTACTGGTATCGGGATTCAACCATCAAAAGAAGCAAAAAACATACTGTACTTGAACTAAATTCATAATTGACACTATACATCACTAAGAAACTCTAATTTAAAAAAACTCCAATTGTAATTATAACTAATACCCAAATGGGATTACAATGGGGGGTTAATGCGATTTTAATGGGATCTATTGGGATTACTTACATGGAAAGCAGTTTTTGTTTGCATCACGCAAAGCCTATGTTGTTTCAAATAGACCGATGGACTGGTGTTCAGAAACTCTATGTCCAAAAGGGGACTCTTTTGACAAAAACAAACGACTAAAACGCAGGAAAGAAAAAAAAAATGGAAAACGGCATCAAACAGAAAACAACTTCGAAAACCTGGGTTGAAAACCTGTCGGGACGGAAATTTAACGGTCCATTTTTTGTGATTCCATCTTTGTTTTTCGTTGAGTCTGGCTCTCCCAAGTGAGTTGCTGAATATGTGAGCCACAATGTGGGGCCCCCAACTACCTTAAACCCTAGTGAAATTGTAGTTATAAACCCACTGAACGCTATCGACTGGGGGCCCCACATTGCAGGTCCCTAAAAAACCATGGATTGATTTGATGCAAAAGTCACTTCGGAAAGCCTCGGTTTTGACCCCCCACAGAGTTGGGACCATGAATTTGTGACGGATCTCGACGAGATCATCTGGCATCGCCAAAATCTATGGAAATTCGATGGAAAGATCTGCCAAGATGTTAAAATAAACACTGTAAATAGCAGCAAAACAGAAAAATGGTAGACTTTTTTTGGGGGGATACCATATATATGAAAATATATGAAAATGCAATCATGTGGCCGCGAAACGCGCAAGCGGCGCAACCTATGATCCCCTGAAAAAATCACTGAACAAAATCATTTGTTCAACGGCCTTGAGCGTGAAGACATGGCTTCCTGACACATGTCCTGTAAAGGCGGTTAAGCAACCGCAAGCAATGGATTTTCCAAAAAGATGCTATCATACCCTCTGGTAATCTAACAGTTTAACATAGCGAACTGGAAAATGACCACAGAAATAGTGGATTTACGCTATAAAATGGTGATTTTCCAGTTCGCTATGTAACAAATTACCAGAGGCTAGATGTTGTTCCAACACAAAAAAAAACGCTTCTTCGATGTTGGTGACATAGTCGAGTCGTTGGTACAACCGTGCTGACGCGTCAAACAGAGTTTCTTAAAGATCCCGTGTGTCTGAAAATGGAGTATACCCCAAAATGGCAAGGTCTATACAGAGACTGATGATGATAAACCACTGGATTTTGGGGCAAGTTCTAAGATACTCTAAGATAAGATGGGAGAATTGAAAAAGGCTCCGGAAAATAATCTTCCAGACCTCATAGAACTGGGGTCCATGTTGACTTTGGGCGGTGTTTTAATATGTTTTAATTAGGTATCTCCAATTCCGATGATCATCCTTTTCCCTCTGATTTGAGTGTCACAACTGTTGTGGCTAGTTGACATAATAACATGTGCTCGTCATTTTCCATTTTTCCAATGCTTTGGGATCACATTTGCCACAAGTGGATCCACAAGTGGAAAAAACATTGACCCACTAACCTAACCCACTAACCTAACCCACTTTCCCATCTTTTCCCATGTTCCCAATGGTTAGTTCACATCATGCCCCCAGAGAAAACCAGCGAAAATGCAGGGATTGGTTTCCCAACATCGACCACCATTTTTTGCGATGGATCGGCCACAAAAGAAGGGAACTCACTGCGTGCTTAGGAAGGGAAGCACAGCTCTTATGACCCGTTGAAAATAAGTGGATGATTGGTAAATATATATATATATATGTATATATATATATGTGCACAACTAGTAATTAATTATATGATCTATATATATATACGCCTAGTATATATATAATCTGGTTGGTGGTTGACCTATCCCTCTGAAAAATATGATATATAGTCAGATTGGATCATCATCCCAGCTATTGGGGAAGTCATAAAATTCATATATTCATGTTCCAAACCACCAGATAACTTTGTTTCGAATCAGGCTCAAAAAACGCAAAAAAAACAAAAAGAAGTAGGATGATCCTACCACTCCATCCTCAAACAACTTGGTCAAGTGCCCTCTAACTTTGGTCAAATGGATTGGCTGCATGTGAACTCTGCAACTGATTGGCTGTCAAACACCCCACAAAAGAATGTGGTTCATCCGTCATTTTCGCGATGAACATCGGCATAAGTGAGGGCATGCTAAGACGTGTCAGTCACACCTGTTTTCGGAATCGTTCCTATCATGTGGTTTGGAAACTCTTAGTAATAGTTTCTTTTGGCTCCCCAGTTGTCATTGGGAATATTGATAGATACAGTATTATAGCGAATGATACCCAAAGCTCCTAAAACACAGAATTCACCAAGTTATGTGCGTCAACTTAGCTATCTACTTTGGGGTGCAGTGGAACCATAGTAAGTGGGACTATATCTCACCAACATATTCATTGGGGCCCCAGATCACAACAAACATTGCGCTTAAAATCCCATACCTTTCGCCTCACCATAGTTATACGAAGAAAACATTGGGATTTTTGAGTCAACTTAGCTAGCTACATTCCATTTATGGTCAAGTTATTAGTACCCCTAGTTGATTTTCTCCATTGAAACCTCCATTGTGGATGTTCCCCATCCTTTTCCCATGAAATCCCTTGATAATCCCATGATTCCATTAAAGCACCATGAACATCTCCCATTAAACATGCACATCTCCCATTCAACCCAGCATTTTTCAACGTTTTTTGCCCGGCGCCAAGTCGCCAAAGGCCAGGCTGCTGTGGCAGGCGGCATCGCCATCCGGGGGTCCCTCGTCGTCGTCGAATTCGGTCTCGGTGGCCTGAGCAGCCGGGAGGATCGGGGGATGGGGCTGGGGTTTCACCCCAGTGGCGATGTGTATCGAATAATCTATGCATGGATGTATATGTATATCTTGTGTATAGTGTATATGTATATACATATGTATATATATATATCTATATGTGAATTTCATTCCAGGTTCCTTCCACGTGACATTAGGTTCAGGTGCGCCCCTAGGGTTGGTAGAAAGAATCCGGTTGTCTGCAATTTCATGGCAGCCGGAGCCCGGTTCTGGCAGTAGCTTGACGGCGAGTGCCAGGGTGAAGATCCAGGTGAGTTTCAACGAAGTTGGGAGGTTCATTTAGCAATACTGCGAAATGGATCAGAAAGGAATAGAGGTTCCTAGCTATGATGGTGCACCAGAGGGCCTTGCGGCCTACAAAGAGGCAGTCCTTCAATACCTGATGGCCACAGAAACCCACAAGCGCTACTTGGTGGGCCCCAGATTAGTCCAGAGACTGACTGGCGTTGCCAAAGCGCTGATTCGGACCCAGACCCTTAGAGATCCTCAGTGGTTGGCACACCCTAGGGGCGCTTACACACTGCTGGGGTTCTTGGAAGAGACCTTGGAGCGACCGTCACTGATAGAGGCAAACAAGCATGTCATGGCCTTCTTCTACCAGCTTGAGAGGAAGAAAGGTGAGACGATGACGGAGTGGATTGCCAGGCACAGTGAGAGGCTATGGGAGGCCTCACGGGCTCTCCAACGTGTCCAAAGGGAACATGGGCGACTGGAAGTGCCTAGTGAAAAGGAATGGAAGGACTCTAGGTCCAGCTACGGTAGAACAAGTGAAAGAAACACAGGAGATCAGGAAGTGTCCTTCCGTGATGATGGCTTACTAGATGAAGAGGAGGATGACCAGACCCACGATGATTCCGAACAACATGCATGGAGGTGGAACAAGTCTTCATGGAGCTGGAGTGAATCATGGGGAGATTGGTCTTGGAAGTCTCCAGAATATGAGCCACCAAAGACATGGAGTTTTGATGAGAAGCCCTTCATTCCTGAGTTCCTGGCAGGATTTCTGCTTCTACACCGTAGTGGACTGGAGCCGAGTGAAAGGTCAAATATTCTGGCCAGCATCAAAGGCCAGTTCACCACTCAGGCCGTTGCCCGTGCGCTTCGTGAACAATGGAGCGATGGGGATGTGGCCAAGCGTGGCAAAGCGAAGGCAGCAGCTGCCTACATCCTTGAAGAGGACGACGAAGATGCCCTCTACAACAATGTGGATGAGCATGAGTTCTCTCAATGGGGTCCTGAGCAAGAGGTCTACCTGGCTGAACAGCAAGCCATTGATGAGGCCTTGGAGGCCATCAAGGTCCAGAAGTCCACGCTGAAGGAAGCCCGTTGGTGCCAGCGCCAAATCAAACTTGGAAGGAACTTCTACCCTCCAAGGCCCTACAAAGGTGGAAAAGGAGATGGCCGCCCTTCCAAGGGAGACATCAAGTGCTTTCGGTGTGGGAGGACCGCACTACCAGGACAAGTGTCCGCAGAAGTTCAAGGAGAAAAGTGCGCAGATCTGCGATCTGATGAAGAGTCAGCTGAGATTGCCTTCGCAGCTTCTGAGTTTGCAGGCCAAGCAGACTATATGGAGCCCAATACCAACAAATTGGAAAAGTTCCGGTACGGCATCATCGATTCTGGAGCGACAGCACCGTTAGGTAGCGTCGATGCACTCGAGGAGCTGATGATAGCCAACATTCATGCCTGTGGGGACAGCAAGATGCAGGTCAACACGTCCAAGCGACCCACCTTCAAGTTTGGAAACGGCATGCGAAAAGAGTGTCTGAGCACTATCAACCTTTCCATTGGTGCTGGTGAGAAGCGTGGGAACATGGAAATTCATGTCCATGACTCACCAGGACAACCTGTCCTGATCTCACGAAAAGCTCTGGCAGCCTTGGGTGCCGTGGTGGACTTCAGCGAGAACAAAGTCATCTACAAGGCCGTGAACCCAAATGTGGCCTTGACGCTGAAGCAAGCTGAGAATGGTCACTTGTTGATGCCGTTGACCGGCAACATTTTAGATGGTGGTCACAAACGTGCCACTCCTTTTTCCAGCCTAGATGAATAGGGACAACTCTCCTGTGAGCACATGGAGAAAACAGCTCAGGGGAGTCCGAACTCAACATTGCAATGTGCAAGTAAGAATGTGGATATGATTGCATACAACTCATTAATTGTTCATGTGTACAGGTGTGTATATATAGATCTTCGTCGAACAATCTAATGTGCATATTATGTGTCAAAACTCATATAAGACCAGAGCGAAGGCCTAATTTTCCCAAGCCGCATCACCGCAGCCATGCCTTCCCCACGTGCCAAGCAGCCGTCACGGTGACGACGGTGGTCTCGGTGGCGGTGTCCGTCATGGTGACGACGGTGGTCGCGGTGGTGCTGACGGTGACCGTGGCGTTGAGCATCATGCTGGTGGACTCGGTCTCGGTCATATTGCCACTGGCGATGCTGAATCCGGACAGCTTTCCTCAGCTCAAAGCGGAGACCAACTGACAAAGCCCACGAAACAAAAAGGGACCTTTTTTGGTCGTGATTATCAGTGATATCCCCCTTTTTTCACCGAGCTTGGAGCGCAAAGCATTTTGGAGTCCTTTGATTCAAGATTTTTCAATCTTAGGGGGATGTCTGGTTGGTGGTTGACCTAGCCCTCTGAAAAATATGACTTCGTCAGTTGGGAGTACTATTCCCAATATATTATGGAAAAATGAAATTCATGTTCCAAACCACCAACCAGTATGTGATTAGTGACGGAAACTCACGGTTTTTTGTGGCATCGCTTTTCTTCGGATTTGAGGACAGGAGATCCCCCATTTGGCGCAACACTTCTTGGGATCGTAGCACGTTCCAGCGAGATGTGTAAGCTTGGATGTGCATCCCACTTAGTAAGTGGATAACCAAACTACACGGGGATGATACTGTGATTATAAACCACTTTTCAGGATGCACTTCCAACTATAGATAGTAAACTACCCGTCTTGGACGTCTCAGTTTCATAAAGTGCCGATCTTGGAGATACTCGTGACCCCAAAAGATGCAGCACTTCTGGGGGCCAGGGGTGATTTTGATGTGCAATTACCTACCGCAACTGCACCCCCAAGCTAAAAATTCATCGAAAATCTCACCTTAAAGCCTCAGCATGAACGGCCATGATTGTGAAAAAGGCAGATCTTGGATAACCTTCAAAAAAAAACACAATTTTCATCAGGACAGGAGATATTTTTGCATGGAAAATTGCCAAAAAAGAACCTCTGAACCTTCCATTCATGGTTTACCTGGGTCTATGCGCAACTCCAATTCAAGCGGATTTTTATTTGCTTAATTCCTAGGAACCCAATTGAGCTTTTCCATTGCTTTTCCAAAAATTCTCAGACTCCTCCAAGATGTTCTGGTTGGTGGTTGACCTACCCCTCTGAAAAATGATGGAGTGAAAGTCAGTTGGGATGATTTTCCATTCCCAACTGTTTCTGGAAAGTCATTCAAAATTCCATGGTTCCAGTCAGCACCAAGCAGTTTTAGGACCGTGAACAACTCCATGTTCCAACTTCGATTTGATGTTTTTGGACCGTTTCCAGCATGTTCCACCATGTTCAGCTGAAGTCTCGTGAGGCATCACGGTGCCAGTTGCTGGGATTGCTGATGTCCTCCAACAATTCTTCCTGCGGATCCCTGGGTGGCATCCCTGGGTGGGCGAAAATGGCACCAGCCGATGATGGAATTTGTTTAGGCTACGAATGGAGATATGAGCGCGGATATGAACGAGGTGTATCATGGGCCTGGGATCTATATATATATAAATATAACATATATTAGATATATATATATGTGTGTGTGTTATATATATATATGTATATATATATATATTATGTATATATCATATGTATATATATATATAACTATGCCTTGATGGTGAACCTTGATCTCCGCAGTGAAAGTTGACAGCTTTTTGCGGCTTGTGTTGACAGCTTTCTCCATATTTTCCTAAGATATCAACTCCAAAAACTTTCCAAGTCATCCAGGACATCCAAGTCTAGCTGGTGTCAACGTGTTTCAAGCCCCAACTTTTCCTCAGGATCAGCCGTCCTTGCTGCCACTGGTGGAGCCCGCATACTGAGCAGTGTCAGTCAGGCCCAGCATCACCACGCTCACCTGGCAACGACGCATCCTCTTGGTGTTTTTATGAAGGGAAGCCATCGCCACAATGGGGGGGCCCCAAGATTGCTAAGTCGGTTTATAACCCCATTTAACTATGGTTATAACATGTTAACTAGCTGAAATTGTTATAACAAGTTCACTACCATAAACCCTATTGAAACAAGTGAACTATGGTTATAACTATGGTTATAACTACCACAAACCCAAACGTGAAATTGTAGTTATGTTCACCAACTGAACGCTATCGACTGGGGGCCCCACATTGCAGGTGTGGAAATCCCCGTGGCGCCATGGAGGTCTAGTTTCGCTTAAATAAAATCTACAGATCAATCGACATAAATTCTGGATTATCCATTGCCACCATTTTGAAGTTTTGATGGTTGAATTTGTTCGATGCTGCATGTTTTTTTACCCCATATTCCAGATCTTGGGGATTGGGACGGACCCGAAGTTCAACATGTTCAACTAAGTTCACTGAAAACATCTAAAAACCAAAGTTTAGAGCTAAACACCTTTGTTCAAGACCAAGTTTGAGCTAAGGTCAGCTAAGGAATTCTTATTGGCACCACCGTGGTGCCATGGCTTGGATTCGACGAACCACCGAAGGCAATTTCAACATTCAGAGCTGAATGATCATGCTGATTAATGGTGGAAGTTTTCCATGGTTTTCATAAGGGTTTTTTTCATGGTTGACAATTGTTCATAATGGTGATTTTTGATCATCAATGGTGATAAATGATAAATTAATCATGGCCAATCTTGGATACCCTGTAAAAATAACAGATTCTTAGCTAGTTAGTAGACAATCCCATTGATACCAAAAGATTAAAGGATTAAACTCTCCATCTAAGATTGACCTAGTGATTAGCAGTGAATTAGCAGTGATTAGCTAGCCTGAAAATAGTTGTGATCATACCGCCAGCCATGATAGCTATGCGGATGACTGGGTGTTTTGTAAGAATCACCGTTAAACCATCCCCAGGTGATTTCCATTGGGAAAGTACAGAAAATCATCGACTCTGTCATTAAAAAAAAAAACGTGAGACCCAGTACACAAATGGGAAAATGAGAAAATGATCATAAATCACTGACATAACATCATAAATGAATCATAAACTAGTTCGTTATCTCTATAAACCATCGAATTCACCAGTCGCCAGTCGTGAAATCACAGTCGCGGTCAACTTCTCGTGAAAAATCCCAGAAATCCCATTAAAAAAATCAGCTGCTGGGAAGATCACGAACTTTTTTCAATCGTAAGTGGGGGACCCACCTCGCACCATGCAATTTATGGGACAAATCACTGACAATATGATACCTGGATGTGTCCAAAAATGGATTATACCCCTAATCTATGGCCATCAAAACACTAGGGAAAATGAGAACATGATAATAAATGACCGACTTTGACCGCTCGCCTCTTCGCTCAGCTTGCGCGTGACGCTTCCTAGGGACCATTGGCTCGACTTCGATCATCCCGTTGATGTTTTTACTGAGTTGACTGAGCTTTGAAAAGCTAGTAACCAGGTCACTAATATCTTGTAACCAGTCTAAGTGGGCAAACCTTGCTTACCCCACACCATTTTTTTCATGGTCGGCCGTCCTTCAAAGCAGGATGAACCCCATGTTTTTTCCAGTTTGATCGTTTGCTCAAATCCCCATGTTTCATGCTTCAAATTAAAAAAAAAAGCAAGCCATCATCCGTCAGTCATGTTTTTTCATGTTTTTTCAATCAAACCTCAAATCCGAAAAACTGCCAAAATTTCTGGATACATCACTGTTTCGATGCATCCTGGAGGGTTTTCCGCCAGCGCCGCACCGCACCTTGCTTGGCTTCCAAGTTGATGCTGCACAACGGCGTAGCCGCCTCCTGGCTTCCCGTGAAGACAGTCAAAGCGGTCGGAGCCACGAAAGACCTGGGACGATAAAAAGAAACTCGTGGTTGATCATAGCAACATGGTTGTAATAGATGTTATAATATCTTTATATTAGTTGTATTACATCTATTACATCTATTGATCATAACATTAGTTGTATTATATATATATGTCTGTGTGTATATTATTCATATATATGGTTGTATAAGTTTTACATATAATATAAATAGAAATCAATAAATACATGACCCGGTCGAGGCCCTAGCTGTTCCATTTTGCAAAAAAAGAATCCGCATCAGTCACAACCTATCATCTCTATCATGGAGTGGAGAGACCTTCTGGAGAACATCATGGAAGAATATGGGAAACAATATGGGAAACAAACATATCATGTTGCCATGGTTAAAAAAAAAAGTGCAACAGATATGGTCAAAATATGTGCAACAGACATATCATGTTTTAACAAACATATCTGTTTTCAAATTTGGTTAAAAATTTATGTGCAACAGATGGGAAACGAGCCAACACATTGCTTTTTATACATAAGTCCGACAGAAACAAATTCAGCAAAACGATGCGAAATGTGCGAAAAAAAAATCTGCAAGCGAGGAGCGCAGAGTCCGCCTCGAAATCTGCTTTCTTCAGCACCTGTAGCTGAACGGCTGTCGCGAGTTAAAAACAATAGAGGATACCAGCAATGTGGGGCCCCCAAGATTGCTAAGTTGGTTTATAACCCCATCTAACTATGGTTATAACATGTTAACTAGCTGAAATTGTTATAACAAGTTCACTACCGTAAACCCTATTGAAACAAGTGAACTCTGGTTATAACTATGGTTATAACTACCATAAACCCAAAGGTGAAATTGTAGTTATGTTCACCAACTGAACGCTATCTAACGGGGGCCCCACATTGAAGCAACTTGATGAGATGGCTCCTTGGTGGTTCACCCCGGTGAAGTGATGTAAGTGGCTTAGACGGTTAGCTCCAAGTGGGATGAACCAACACATACCTAATATACAAAACTTGGAGAAACCCGGATTTCACGAGAGGATGTCGAATTTCACCAAACAAACAATTGCTACAAAAACCAGTAACAATGACTAAAGCGTGATGAAAGAAAGCCGTTCATGACTAATTGACGATTCTGATTGTAGCTTATACCCCCATCTAACTAAAGACAGATTCACCACAATTTCACCAAAGATCCAAATCGACTAACAGCTAAATTATAGAAATTCAGCAATCTGAAAGAAAATAGCTGAAATACA